GAATGAAAACGCGAACCAAAATTCACATGCCCTCTAATACCTCAAGATCAGGTCTAAGATAATAACACAGCTCTGGGGAGATTTGTTTTCCAGAGCTTCCGGTAAGTTCACTGTGGGCTTCAAAACCTAATGCTGAAGTGTATGAGGAATTTTACTGACTTCAGGCATTTCAGTAGAGTATGTTTCTGAATCAGGGATTTAAGGCTGTAGATTTGGCTTCTCTGGTGAATGCGAGAGATTTGACCAGATAGTGTTTGAAATTCAGTGGGAGCTGGAACAAAGCCTTTAATCACTTTTTTATGCTAACACGATAAATGGATTTTCTTCTCTTTTTATATGTAAAGGGCTTTTACTTTCTTTCAAAACCAGCGGGTGACTGAAGCCAAGTAAGCTATCTGCATGTCTCTTCAGGGTGATTTCCGACATGGGTTTTACCGTACCCGAAATAAATCTGATACCAGTGTAACACAGATATGATGTAGCTGTTCTGGTTGATGTTATCCAGGGGAAGAGCTGCTTAATATTTTTACATGGACTGCACACCAACTAAGATGGAAAGCCATGAAATGGCAAACAATAAGGAATTTGGCTAGAAGCAAGTTTTATTGAATTTATGTTCTAATACTGATTTCCTTGCTGCAAAACTGAAATAGAGCAATAAATCATAACACAGGCTGAGCAGGGTGCCTGAGTTCTGCCTCATGTGGCAACAAACTACCTCTCAATGACTTAGGTGCAGTGAGAAAACAGTTCAGCAGTTCTGTAGAAGTCAGAGGACTTCCTCCAGAAACAGTTAATCAGTCAACAAATTGTCTGTGACAGAAACAGATCTGAACAGAGCCTTAAATACCATAGTGCACACATTGAGGTCTAATTATGTGTGAAATAAATGAAATTGTCTTTATGAGCATGTTTGAATATTTATTTCTCCTCTTTCTCCAGCAGTTGTGCTTTGTATCATGTGGAGAGCCCACAACATAGGTTTTTCATAACATTCTCAGACAGTTGCTTTTCAAACTGTTAGTCTGTTTCTCCACCTTGCCTCCCATCCTCATTCACTGCCATCAGAAGTAGTGTCACTTCTAGATTCCACTCTTACATCAGCAAATTCACTGAACAAGACCAGCAGTTTTTAAACACCTGCCTACCTCTTCTTATACACATCCGTAGTTAGTAATTTAAGACTGGTTGGTAGAGAATGAGACAAACACAAGCATTGGAGATTAATTCTAGAACCTTTATTCTTGGGTAAATGAAAGGTCTATGAGAATGAATTGTCTTTAAGAAATCCTTGATGTCAAGCTTTCTTTTATCCCCCAAATTATTCATGACTTGAAACAAACGGATAGCTGAGCAACCATGGAACACGTGTTACTAGATAACTTGTGTGTGTGAAAATTGAGTACCAAATTATGTATGTTACATCATAATGGAAAGAGATGTTTGGAAAGACACATTCAATGCATTTGTTTGCTGTAACTGCCATCCCTTGTATGTACCCTCTACACACGTTTTTATTTGGAGTAGTCATAAACTGTGCTGTCTAAATGAAAGAATAGAATCTTTATTTTGTAAATGAAAACAGCTCAAAGTTGTTGTAAATATTCCTGTGTATATGTATCATTTTTGTATAAACAAAATCACATTACCTGAGTCTCTGTTTGTTTTTGAAATATTTTCAGGTTTTTGTGTTACCTAATTCATTTATTTACAGCTTTCCAAGCAACAAAATTGGCTGTCATTATCTTGCACACCTGTATTAAAGCCTGTACTATGTTTTGCCCTTAGAACCAGAAAAAAATCTGAAAGGTAAGTTGTGTGCACAGACTGACAGCCCACTGCTGGATCTGACAGCCTGACACAGTACTCTTAAATGGGCTTGCTCCTGTCAGCCAAGACATTGCATGCACTTGTTAAAAAAACCAATATATTTGCTATGAATATTATTTCCATATTTGTGTCCTGCTGTCTTTCCTTAGCTGCTTCTTGCTATTTAGTTCTTTCCTTCCTACTACCCCTTCCACAGCCCCTCTGAAAGCCCTCACCTTCACGAATTCACAATGTGGCCATAACATTTGAGTTCGTTTATTTGAATTAATTCTTCAACACATTGTTACAGATGTACTGCTGGCAAAGAAAGCATCCCACAAAACAACCATCCTAAAGAATTAAGAGAGTTGCACCCATGTAATGTCAAATGAAGGGTGCTGCATTAATAAATCCTTTGACAAAATCTAGTTCAGCTGTCTGAACTACTCTATTTAAGAATGCTTGAACCACAGTTTCTGCTGGCGTAAGGACTTCAGCAGGGCCTGTATGGGAGTGATTTATCTGCCAAGTTAGTTCTGCTGCTCCTTGTGCTTCCATGACCGAAGTCTGAAAGCAGTTTTTGGTAACTTGCAGTAACAGCATGAAAAGAGTTTTGCTTCTACACGTTTTCAATAAGGATGTGTCTTACAGTCCTTGCTGACACAGCTCCGTGGACATGCCTTGGTAATACAGAACAAGCATGAATTGGGTCACTTGCTAAAAAAGTCAAAACATTTCTCGTTGGTTACAGGAGCAGTTCTCTATGGAGAATATGAGAGTACTTGTACCAAATGAGCTTTGGTGCAAAATCCTCACTATTTGTTAATCTGCAACAAGCTCCTTCATTAGTGGGTGTGCAGATCAGGCTTGTGTGGGGAGTGATGAGCATTATACACTATATGTATTCTGTCATTCCACACTTTCAGGAAATGCTGAGCCAGTGAATTGCTCAAATTTAGAATTTTTTCATCATGTCTATTTGCATTTGCCTTTTGGGTATGTGTGAGATCAATAACCAAAATGTGATGCTTGTAAATACTGAATCAGTGATCTTGAGATGGTGTGGTGAGATGTGCTGCAGCTGTGGGGCCATGGTAGGAGGAGCAGTAAAGGAGCTGGCAAGAGTGAATGATTTTATTAATGTCAATACAAAAATGGCTTGTATTTTTTTATAACTCCGGTCCAAAAGAATGTAGAGACAAGTTTGCTGATGGCACTGAGCTGAATGATACAGTTGATGCAGCAGAAAAAAGGAATGCCATCCAGAGGAACCTTGATAAACTCAGAAGTTGGGCCCATGTGAATGTAATGAAGCTCAACAAAGTGAAGAGCAAGGTTTTGCACTTGTGTCAAGGTAATTCCAGGAATGTATACTAACTGGGAGCAGAAATCCTTGAGAGCAGCTCTGCTGAGGACTTAGGGGTCCTGGTAGATGGGAAAAAGATGAGCCAGCAGTATGGTCTTGCAGCCTGGAATTCCAACGGTACCCTGGGCTGCATCAAAGAGGGTGGGCCAGCAGGGGGAGGGAGGGGATCATCCCCCTCTGCTTTGCCCTCGTGAGGTCCCACTCGAGTACTGTTTCCAGGACTATGGCCCCACAGGAGGCCACAGCACAGGAGGGATGCTTTAGAAAGGGTCCAGAGGAGGGCCACAAAGATGCTCAGAGGGCTGGAGCACCTCTCCAGTGATGACAGGCTGAAGCAGCTGGGCTTGTCCAGCCTGGAGATGGCTGCAGGGAGACCTCATTGCAGCCTTCCGGTATTTAAAGTGAGATTATAAACATGAGAGAAATGAACATGGGTAGATGGTGATAGGACAAGGGGAATGGTTTTAAAGGAAAGGAGAGGAGATGTAGATTAGACTGGGAAAGATTTTCACTGAGAGTGGTGAGGTGCTGGCCGCAGGTTGCTCAGAGAGGTTGTCAGTGCCCCTTCCCTGGAGATGTTTAAGGCCAGGTTGGGTGAGGTGCTGAGCAACCTGGTCTAGTGCTTGATCTAGGGCTGGCAGCCCCCCAGAAGCAGCAGGACTGGAACTTGAGCTGTGAGACATCTTCCAACCCAAGCCATTCTATGGTTCTGAGGCATCAGCATGAAGCTGTCCCCTCGGCACACCGGGATGCCCTGCTCCGGCATGGAGACCACTTGCGTGCTGTCAGGGGCCTGCTGCTTTCCCAAACAGCCCCGACACCGAACTGCTTTTGGCTGCCATCACTACCTGGGGATGGCTCTAACTAACGCTGCCGGTTGAGCTCCTACACTAATTGAAACTAGAGGGGGCCTTAAAGTCCCTTCCACTCCATGCTATCCCACGGCCATTCACGGTGCGACGAAGTGCTACTTCACCACGCAGCAACCGTTTCAAACCACATCAAGCAGAAGCGCGTCAGCCGAGGAGCCCCCTGAGCTACCACAACCAAAAGCGCGCGTTCCGTGCAGCTCCGCCGCCTTCCTCGTTCCCGCGGAGGACGCCCGTCTTCGCGTCCCGCGCGGCAGCACGGCGCTCCGCCGCCAAACAAAGGCCGCCCCTCCCCCCGGCCGCCGTTACCGGCCGCTGGGGGCCGGCCGAGCCCCCCGCCCCTCCCAGGCTCGCCATGCGCAGGCGCATTCGCCGCGGCGGGGCGGGGCGGGGCCACGAACTCTGACCCCCGGAGCCGGAGCCGCCGCCGACAAATAAAGCGCCGGAGCCGCTGCTGAGCCGCCAGGTGAGCCGTGTCCCGGCCGCGGCTCTGCCCGTCTTGCCGCGCTTGCGTGTGCTCGCTCCCGCCTCCCTGGCTGCCGCCCGGCCGCACTTCCTCCTCCTCCGCGGGGCGCGGCGCGGGGCCCGGCCCGCCTCAGGCATCGCCCCGTCCCGCGGCGGCCCCGCGCCCCCCGACCTTTCACCTACAGGAACCGCTTGTGCTGCTCGCATCCGGGCCGCGCCGTCACGGCTTCCCGCTGCCTGCGGCTCCGCGCCGCGCCGAGGAAGCTGCGGAGAGGCGGCGGGCGGGCGGGCGCTACTCGCCGAGCGCTCGCTATGGGCCCCTCCCGCCGCCAGCGCCGGCGGCGCGCAGCCATCTTGTGCGGGGCGAGTCCGGGCCGCGATGGGGGCGGGGAGAGCCGCCGCCGGGCACGGGCGGTGTGTGCCGGGGCTGAGCTGCGAGGCTTCCCTGCGGGTGGGACCGCTGCGCTCGGTTCCCATGGGAGTGGGGGGGTCTTAGAAGGGCAGCGTGAGGGAGCCCTTGGCTTTGGGGTCAGGGTGGTGCCAGAAGATAGAAAAGGATCCGTTGGGAAGGAGGAGCAGAACGTTGTACTGCGCTGGAGAGGCTGCGTTCACCTGGTGGATCTTGCTTCTGGGCTTTGTGGTTTTGGATCCGTTCTTTATGTAACACAGCTTCCTGCCTTTAAGAAACTATAATGATTATTTTGCCTCTCCCTGGTGGTTGTGCCGTGAGATGAGCCAGTCCGAGAGAGCAGAGGGGACGCTTCCTTGAGGGCAGCAGTAAGCTGTGAGGCGTTGGACTGCTGCTGTCTGCAGCCCTTCCTCCAGAGGCACTGCAGACCTGCTCCTGGGCAGGACCAGGTATTCTCATGTGACAGCGGTCAGCGCTGAGCTCGTGTGAGGGACACACGGTCACCTGATGGCCCGCGGCACTCGGCTGCTGTGGTTCTGCACAGTGCTGTGTCTGCGTGCTGCCTGCTCAGCCTGTCACAGTCTGCAGCAGCAGATGAGGAACCTTTCCATGAGAGGCCAATAGATAAATCATGGAGCTTTAACTTTTTTCCCTGTATTCTTGGGGCACAGCCTGAAGGTCGTGTGTGTGTCTGTGAAGTTGGGTCTATTTTAGCAGGAAGCAGGTTGGGCTGGGTGACCTCTGGAATTAACTTTGAGTGGGATTTATTTCACAACTATATTTTGTATTGAAATATTGGGGATTATGGGTTGGCAGAGGATGAGACTGATAATGCAGCATGCTGTGGAAGGGCTCCTGTGCAAAACAAAACATACTTAAAGCTGTCATACCAGTCAGTGCTCACTAGACTTTTTTCCCTAATGAGGAGTCTAAATATTTACACTGTCAAGATTAGTTTGCTTGTTCTCTATACTGATACAGTTTTCATTTGGCTTTATTGTGTGTTCTTTGTGTTGAGCAATTAAAGTTGAGGTAGCCAAGAAGGTTGCTGTAGTTCTCTTCCAGCTTGTGGAAGAAAGGAGCTGCACTAAGATGCTTAGCCTACAACTAATGTTTGGGTGAAAATCTCTGGTGGAAAGAAACCAAAACTAAAAACCCATCCCCTTCGCTTAAAATAGGGCGCTTAGCGATGTATAAGGAGTGGAGCAAAGTGAAGTTAAACTTGCATGTTTGTTCTCTGGACAGGCGAAGTAATGGATTTCAGCTGCCAGCACTACATCTGGTGGGGGATGTGTCCCTTCCCTGCTGCAGCAGCCGTCCTGGCTTTTGGTGTGCTAACCTGTGTTATTGTGGTTGAAATGGGTCAGGGAGCTCTCATGCGATGCCTGCTTCCCCATGGCAGGGGGATGGGAGCATTCCCCTTCAGGGAGGTGGAGTGGGATGATATGGTTGTGGGGCAGCAGGCAGACTGGCACAGCTGCCTGCATGTGCTCTTTTGTCACACAGCTGTGGCATGGAGCTCAGCGGGCAACATCAGGGGAAGTGAAACAGTTCCTAAGTCCAAATAAACCCTTAGGTAAATGAGTAAGCTTGTTGCAGTTTTCACTTGTGCCTGCATATTGTTGGTGTAAGATATGATGCCACATAATAGAATTTTATCAGTTTGAAAAATGATGTGTAAAATTATGAAGGTGCAGTTAATCAAATCCTTATCTTGTTCATAGCCTTACCCTTCACACATCAGCATTTGGTTCCAGAGCGTGCACTGAGTGCTACCAACCACAGTCTCAAAGCACCAAAGGATTTCTCTTTGAAAAACTACTCTCCACTTCCAAATCATGCAGATTGTGAGGATGGAGTGAGTCCAATGTATTTGATGAGGTGGCAGTACAGACTTTGAAAAGAAGTGTGCTTCTTTCTGAAAATCATTGTCTAATGTATCTGTATCAGTGCAGGGTAACTTAAATTAGTTGTAACGGTTTGGTCAGGCCTTCCCTGAAAGCCTGTTAAATTTCACCTGAATTAATTTTGTTCAGCTTGATAGCAAGACAGACTGGGATAAGTCAAATACTTCATTGCCTTTGTAGGAAGCTGAACCAGCAACTTGAAGAATACGAAAAAAATGAAAGAAAACCTAACATGAAATGAAACACAAAGAAAAACCTGAAGCCAATTCCTCTTGTATTATCATATTAGCTTTAATTAGTGGTTATTTAGTTCCAGGCAAGGTAAGGTTGCTTGGGAGTAAATTTGTAGTGTGAAAACTCTTATTTATTGTGGTAATTTGTTTGTTCCAAAATATTAGTAGGACAATGCAAGTGTCAATGTGAGTAAAGCTTTTAGTCCTGACAACTTAATCTGAATGTCCTTTCCAGAGTGCCTCACATACATGCTAACAGGAACCTAAAGGTCTGCTAACAGAACCAAATCCTGTGATACTGCAAAGCTGATACAGGGGAAAAAAAAAAAAAAAAGCTGAATGTGCTTACAAATATCCTTATATCCTCTGAAATAAGAGGATTGATGTTATATTTATTATGCAAGCTGCTGCAACAATATGGGCTTTTTCCAAAAGAGTTGTCTTCAGCTTTCTTTGAGTCATACTTAGTAGCTGTTTGCTGCAGGGTGAGTAAATTCAGTTCAGCTTACCTCACTGTTACACAGCTGCAAGGTTGAGTGCAGAAGGGAGAAAAGACCCTCAGCTGCAATGTGGCTGTCCCACTTGATGAGATGCTGCAGCCATGTTGTTTGCAATGGGTGTAGTGCCTGCCTGTGCTTGGAAAGCAGGGTTTGCGCTTGCTAGGTGTTAGTACAGTGTGCCAGGTAGAGGAACTGACCTGGCTGAAAGTAACCCAGAATAGAGGAGAAAAGGAGTGGAGGCAGAAGTACTTAGCCAGGTGAACTTCCTGATCTGGTTTGTTTAATAGCTTCAGCTCTGGTGTAGGGAACCATATTGTTCTTGTTTTACTTCTTGCAACAGCACAGTTTTGCCAGCCTCAAGCAGAAGACATGCAGGACAGTTTGGCCTGGTTAACAGGAGTCTCTCCTTACCTGGCTCTGGCCAGTAGTCAGTGCCTGTGTGACCTGGTTCATTTTGCAGACAATCCCCTGTGCCTCTCCTCCTCTACGCTGCTCCAAGGCCTCGTGGGGCTGCTGAGCTGAACCAAACACACAGTAGGAGCTCCACAACAGGGTAGGTGTGAGACCATCCCCTTTGGTGGCCCAAACTGAGAATGACTGCTGTCTTCTCACGTTTGCACGGTTGTTGCTTCACCATTCCTTCCACTGTAACACTTTGCTTCCATGAAAAATTAAACATGGCAATTTTAAAGCTTTGAGAGCAATGATTTTAAATGAATTACACAGGCTTGGCTGCCAGTGCATCTTTTACTTTATTGCAGTGTGCCTTGTAATTATTCCTTTGTGCTTTGTGAGTGCCTCATCTTCCCTTGCCTGCAGGTTTAGCTGCTCGTTTCCTGTGGTTATTGGTCTCTTACATGCGTATGTTCTAAATCTTGATGCCATGCAGATTCAATAAATGCTCTCTGACTGGGTGTCATGAGTCACATAAATACTCCTTAGCTCGGGGATAAAGAGGCTGCTACTCCTTTGAGTCTGTAACTGTTCTACCATCTTGAGTGTTATGGCTTCTAGAAAGATAATCTAAGAATAGCTCATTTAGTTTCTGTGTTCATTGAGCTTCCTACATAGAAAACAATGAGCAGAGCAGTGTCGCATGCCTCACAGATGTGTTGGATTCCTTGGCTTAATTGATGATTTGTAAAGCATTGCAGAATGCTGTTCCAAAGTGTAAAGGAATCTGTTTAAAACAAGTAACCAAACCTCCTGACTTCTACAGTTAATCATAGAGGGATTTCTGAGTGCTTTGCATTCTGCGTGTGGGTTTTTGTGAAACAAGTTCAGCATTGGTTACTCCAAATTCTTAATCATCATATGATGACTTTGGGAATGGAAGTGAGGATTAGTTTTCATTTTAAGGTACGGACCAGCTGTAAGCCCCAGATATGATGACATGAACTGAAATAGCACATCCTTGGTTCATTTACTGAGATTTGTTGAAATCTCTTATTGCTGAAGTAATATGACTATGGAAGGAGATTAAGTTCATTTCTTCTAAGAGGGAATTATTTTCTAGCCAGCTTTTCATTATACTAACCTTTCATGTCGCGTTGCTGCTCTTCTATTTCTTCATGTAAGACCAGAAAGTAAAGTTCACAATAACTTCTGTGGTCACAACCAGTTAACATGCCAGTATCTCAAAAGCAACCACAGTGGTGGTCTCTGTTAACTTAAATGTGCATCTAATCTTCTGCAGGCATACCTTTCTCAGGTGGGTTTGATCTAGAAGAAAGCTGTATTAACACACATTCCATATGTGCATGGAGCCATTCCTGGAATCATATGCATTATATATGTAAATGTTTATATATTATGTGCATAAATAGCACATAAATATAGAATCAAACTAGACAATGCCAAGAGAATATGTTAAATTATTCAAGTTCTACAAGCATTGTTTTTGCAGTAGTGAAACTTATTTTGGGTCAGGTTTGACTTTTTTTTAAAGTAACCTGCAGATCTCCAGGGCACAGGGACTATAAACATACTGTGTCTTCATACTGATGCAGTCTTTGTTCATCTAAAGGGTGTTAAATTAGAATTGAGATGTTATAGAGTAAAGCAATTATACCAGCAGTGCAATGTAATATAGAGAAACAAGCGATGTTACCATTAATATCATGGAAAGTCCAAACATCAGACATTTTCTGCAATTGCTTTTGAAGTTCTTAGTCTACAACACACAATATTTTGGCATACTATTAGTAGGAAACTTCCTACTGAGATGATTAAGGTCGTGTAACTTCTGTCCCTGGATAAGGGTATGGGTTACTCCTTGCTGTCTCCCTGGGTATGGCTGTACCAGCAGAGGAATTAGAGGCTCTCTCATCTGCTGGCAGTTCTCAGGGGAGTGTTTCTTAACCCACTTCTGTGGAAGTAAGCCAAAAGCAAACCACTGAAATTATTATTTCCTAAGTTAGTTTGAATAAAGTTTTGGGAAAGCTCTGGCACATTCAAGCAGAAGAAGAAGGAGAGAAGAATGGTGGTTGAAATTTAGGCAAGCTCATGAAAATCTTCATCTGACACTGTGGAATGATTATCTGAAGGATCATAAACTAATATATGTATATTTTTTAGTATTTACTCACATAAAGAAATTAAAGTTGCATTTCATTTATGAGCCTCAGAGGTCTGATGCCTGTCTGCTGTTAAAATGTCTGCTTTTAGATGATGCTTCTAATAATCGGGGCTGAGGGACTGAGGTTTTAGAACAAAACTGATGGATATATGATTTGACCTCCCCATGGGATGGTTTCTCTTTCATAGGTTTTTTTTTTGGGGGGGGGGGAAGTTTTCTTTTTTTATTTAATTATATGGCAAATAATATTGTCAAGCACTGCAGAAATAGTTTAGAAAGCAAATGCAAAGGTGATACAAATGTAAAGTAGATCTAATCACTGCAAATACAGATGCTAATAGTTGTCTATCTCTGTACCTACATTAATGGAAAAACAGCCTTCTGTGTGTTTGGTTATGTATAAAGAAAATGTGTGTGTTTGTTTTTTTTCTGGCCTTGGAAATTTACTACTAATGAGAAACTATGCAAACAGATCATCACCCACTGGGAGCATTAAGGTACAAAGAGAAAGCATTGAGCAGTTGGAGTGAGGCAGTGATCTAATCGTGTTGACAGTCTGAATGTCAGTTTTCCTTAGGCAACGTGTCTCCTTTAAGAAAAACTAAAGGAATGTTTCATGGAGGTTTTACAAAGAGTGTTTCTGATCTTAACTGTAGACCTGCAGAAAGCTATGAATGGGAACCATTTGGGAGCTTAAGCGATAACAGTGGTGTCATTGACTAAATGGTTATGGGGCAGAGCTTTTCTGATCACTTTTTAGACCTAGAGGGCTCTGAAGAGTGAGGGCAAGAATTGTAAGTCTGATGTAAAGAAGCAAGAATTATCGTAAAATCATAGTGTATCCTGAGTTGGAAGGTGCCCACAAGGATCGAGTCCAGCCCTGGCTCTGCACCACATCACCCGGAATTCAAACTCTGTGTCTGAGAGAGCTGTCCTAACTCTTGTTGAACAACAGCTTGTGGCTGTGCCCACTGAACAGGGGAGCCTGTTCTGTGCCCTGTGGTCAAGGACCTTGCCTGACCCTCCCCTCATGCAGCTCCATGCTGAGCAGGGCAGCTCCTCCCCTCGCCCAGTGTGCAGTGCTGGGCCTGGTGCCCCTAGGGTATGGTTGGGCTTTTAGCCTTGGCAGCCAAAATTAGGCTGTAATTAGAAGTCACGCTGATTACAAAGGAAGGATGTTTTCAAGTGCGTGAGGTTATGCACTGATATGAATCTTAGCTTAACTTCTGTCACATCAGGTAAACAAGGGAAGAACCCAATTTTCATTAGCCTGTATTTTAGGATGTAGTTGAGTATGACATTTGCAAATGTCAGAGACAGCAAGTCGCACCATTTTTTCTTGAAGTCTATGGAAATTCCTTGTCCTCAGGCCAAAATTAAGATTCTGCTCTTTACTTCAAGGGCTGTGCTTCCTAAGCAAGGGCATCAGCACAACTCCTGAAAAAATCAGTGTTCCTAGCTGTATCCCAGCTGTAATACAGAGATGGCCAGTGTACAGCTGAGTAGTTGTTGAGTGTTATTGGTGGTTGTGTGGTGTTTTAATACAAACAGTAAAGACAAACTTGAGGAAAAATGTGCTGCTGCTTGGTTATTGAGCAGCGAATTCAGAAGATGCTCATCCACACGTGCACTTGTGAGGAGAGGGAGGGTTAATTCAGTGAGGCACTCCAAGCTATACTGTCTCTGCTTATGAGTACTAAGTGTTTTAGACTGGTTGCTTTCTTCTAAGTTGAATTGATGCTTTGTTGGAAACAGCTGCAGTGAGACTGAGATGATGGTTACTCAGGAGGTTGCAGGTTGTTCTTGTGTGCGGCAGGTACTCTACCTGCTGATGTAAAGCCAGAATAAGGTTGTATCCTCATCATCAGCCTAACTTCATAGGTCAGGCCTGATGGACATCAGTCTTAAGAAGTGACCATCTTTAAAAAATAAGATCTCCAGAAGGAGATACTAACATTTATCAATTTTAAATGGTCTTGGCTTTGTTTAGGGGCTTGTTTCATCAAGAAAGTTCAAAAATAATGCAGGCATTAAAATTGGAGAGGACTTCTGAGATCACCGAGTTGCACAGTCAGCCCATCCTTACCATGCCCACTGACCATGTCCCTCAGTGCCACATCGTGGTTCTTGAATACCTCCAGGGATGATGACTTCACCTCCTCCCTGGGCAGCCTGTGACAGTGCCCAGCTACTGTTTCAGAGAAGAAACTTGCTAATATCCAACCTTTATCTCCCTTGGCAAACCTGAGGCAGTTGCCTTGTATCCCATCACTAGTTGACTGGGAGATGAGGCTGATCCTCACCTCACTCACTGCAACTCCTTTCAGGTCACTGTAGAGGGTAATTAACTCTACCCTACACTTCTCCAGACTGAGCCATCCCACTTCCCTCAGCTGCTTCCCATCAGGCCTGTGCTCCAGACCTTTCACAGCTTTGCTGCCCTTCTTTGGACGCATTCTGGTGCCTCAGTGTCCTTGTAATGAGGGGCCCAAAACTGAACACAGCACTCAAGGTGCAGCCTCTCCAGCACAGAGTACAGAGATACAATCAGCTGATTGTATTTCTGATACAAACTGGGATGCCATTGGCCTTGGCCACCTGGGCACCCTGCTGGCTTATGTTCAGCCAGCTGTTGACCAGCACCCCCAGATTCTTTCCAGCTGCACAGCTTTCCAGCCACTCTATTTGATGCCTGTAGCATTGAGTTTTTCCTTCCTGCTTTTTTTTCTCTGATTTTGAATTCCTACAAAAATAATACGATAAGGCAGGGAATCTCTTTCAGAGAACCTCTGAGTAAAATGGTACAGTTATGCTCCTAGCATCCAGAATGAAAGAAGCCTATGGCCAATTCTGGATTTGAGAGTGCTGAGTGCTTTCAATATTTTATTAGCTCTGTTTGAATAATGTAAAAATGGCTATGTGCACAACATTTTATTTCTGTCACAAAAAGGACAGACAGTGTTGCACAGGTGCAGAATTTTGCTGGTACAAATCCTTGTCTTGCTGTTGGTGTTTGGCAGCTTGACTGAAAACACAAAATCTGTGCTTCATGTTTGCTGTTCAGATAGAGAGATACACAACAAATCATTATCTTTGTTCATCAGATGCTTCATATTCTTGGAACTCAGTAAACGAAAGGAAGTTGGTATGAACTCCCATCACCCTTCCAAAAAGTTCTTCAGCAAAGACATTTTTTTCAGAATACAGATAACCCCTTCAAGCTTCAAACACAGACTGTAACTCTCACAAGTACATATCAACCTGAATATACATACCTCGATAATAAAACTTCTTTATCAGAGTATGTGGATGTGGTCATTTAACACCAGTAGGTAGGTAAGCGCCATCATTCTGCTCTCACACTCCTCTTCCTCAGAAGGACGGGGAGAAAATGTGAAACAATGTCATGTGTTAAGGTAAGGACAAGGACATCAGTCACTAGTTACTGTCACTAGCAAAACAGACTAGAAGAGTGAGAACTGAAAGCCAACTGAAAACACCACCTCCCCTACCTCTGGTACTTCCCCACCCTGTCAGTGGCACAGGGGAGCTGGGAATGGGGCTGCAGTCAGTCTGTAATGCTTTGTCTCTGCTGCTCCTCCATGGTTTCTCTCTGCCCCTCCTCCACATGGGGTTCCTCCATCCTTCCCAAACTGATCCTGTGTGGCCTTCCTGCAGGCTGCAGCTGTCCAAGCACTGCCCCGGCACAGCTCTGTACCACAGGGCCCACCCTTTAGGTACTGCCCCACATGGGTCCCCATCAGCAGCAGCTCCCCCAGCCCTCCTGCCCCAACACAGGCTTCTGCCCGTGGGCTACAGCTTCATCCAGGGGCTGCTTCTGCTGGGGCTCCTCCGGGCCTCATCCACTGCTGCACCGTGGGCTCCTCCATGGCTGCATGTGGAGGTCTGCTCTGTGTGGAACCTGCGGGCTGCAAGAGGATGCCCGGCTCCTCCATGGGCCTCTCCTGTGCTGCAGGGAGCTTCTACTCCTTGCCTGGAGCACATTCTGCCCTCCTCCTGCGCTGACCTTGATGGCTGCAGGGCTGCTTCTCTCGCATTTTCTCACTCCTCTCTCCCAGCTGCTGTGATGCAGCAGTTTTTTCCTTCCTTGGCTCTGCGTAGCTCTTGGCTCAGCTCTGGCGTCTATGGGACCCTTTTGGAGCATCTGGAGTTGGCTCTGATCTGACATGGAGCAGCTGCTGGGCTCTGCTTACAGAGCCCATCCCTGCTACAGCAGAGAGAGATGCTTGTAAGCCCATGGAGCACATTAGCCATGAAAGCACAGTTCTTGCACAGTGTCACAGCTTCCCTGGACTTCTGCTGAGCCTTGGAATCATCAGAAAACTCAGTATAAACAGTGATCTGACCATTCAGTTTGAGCAAATCGGTTATGGCTTTGGGGTCTGATAAACTTTCCTGTTAACATTCAGATCCATTTTTCTCTCCGGGAGAGAATGTTTCAGGAGAGATTCAGCTGTATTTCTCAAGCCAAATGTTAGCAGGCGAACAGTACTTAAGCTGTGCTACAAAAGTGCATAATATACTAATGTGTACTAGAAAGGGCCTGGGGAATGTAGCAAATGACCTCAAATTCTTTGCCAAGTGAAGGATTTTCTATTTGTCCTTGATGATATCATGTATATAAATTTAAATAATTTCTGCACTTTGGATTTTTTGTCCTTGTGAAATTCCAGACTCAAGTTTATGGAAGAACTCCAGTGTTTGGCTTGTTTGGGAGTCTGCCCTGGAATTGCTTCAGCAAACTTTCTGGAAGTAAATGAAGGAGGCAATCATTGAAAAGTAAGAAGTGAGGTAAAAATTGATTACATTCAGGTAGCCCTGTTAAAATGGGAATACGCAGTAAATGAAGAAAGTACAATTGATTCAAAAAATTGAAAAGGGAGGGATATAATGATTGTAGCTACCTGAGATGATTTCTGTATCATAGAGTGAAAAAAACCTCTTAGAATGAATAATTGATGATCATTTGATAAAGTTACTGTTGTGTTTAATAGTTATATTCCCCTTTGAACTAAGATGACAGGCTTCTCATACATAATTTCTCACCATTTTAAGTATGGTATGTTTTGTGCAGGTGAAGGCAGTGAGCATGGTCAACTGAAGTCTGCAAGGCACTAAATGATTAAATAAGTGTTGTTTATGATTTAATCTGGTAATTCTAGTCTTCATAAAATAGACTTTTATTCTGCATGTGTGTGCTGCAGGACAGCAGTGCCTTAATGCTGTAAACTGAACGGATGTTTGTGGTAATACTGAACCTGCAAAAATGTGGAACCAAACTTAGGTTCCAAGGAAAGACAACACTTAGTTCTGTGTTAGGACTTGAAAAGATTAATACCTATTAACGGAAGGAATAAAATCTTGTACTAAGAGATTTTCAAAAGTCTTTGCAGAAGAGTATTTCATTGTCAAAATACTAGGTTCAGCTATAAATAAGCTGATGTGTCTGACACTTCGTAACTGCATTGCTTTCCTTGCCTTGCTTTTCAGAACAGCTTTAGCTATTATAGTTCTTACAATTATAAAATTTTACTCTTCCTGGAAATAAGAAGTGGAGCAAGAAGATTGCTCCCTGTCAGCCTCTTGATTGTACAGTGCTTCAGCATGTGGACCAGAAGTCTGCAAGACCACTTCATGGTCATATATGTTGCCTGTTTTGTCCTTGGGGCTGCTTGTTGCTTTTTTTCATCCTCTTTTTCTTGTTTCTTCACCAGGTTCATCCATAAGATTCCAAAGTAAGTGTGTCTAAACTCCAAGGCTCACCTAACAACAGTTTATAGAACTGTGGGAATGCATGGGAGACTTCAGATGGCCTAAGTGGACATAAATTGTGTGGCTGTGGAAAGGGGTCATCCTACAGTTCCACGCCACCACTGGTGCAGCAGTAGCATTTTTATGGTAATGTAATGAGTTAAGTCGTTCATTGGGCTGAAAACTAACACAAACTAACACAAAACTGCTTCTGGCTATGAGGTCACAGTTACACCAGTGCTGGCACCAGGGGGTGCAGGCAGGAGAAGACCTCAGGAAATCTCTAGTCCAAACCAAAACCCATACTCAAACCAGGGTCAGTTACAAAATCAGAATTTCAGAATTTTACTTGTTCTTAATTTTTTAACTCTCCTATGAAGAAAGGCTGAGGTTTTGTTCAGCCTGAAGAAGGTTCTGGGGAGGTCTCATTGTGGCCTTCCAGTAAACTGGAGGGAGACCAACTTTCTACATGTGATGGGAAAAGATTGAACAATTTTAAACCAGAAGAGATCTAGCTTAGATATTAGGGGGAAATTCTTCACTCAGAGTGTGGTGAGGTGTTGGAACAAGTTGCCCAGAGAATTTGTGGTTGTCCCTCCCTGGAAGTGCTAATGACCAGGCTGGATGGGGCCCTGGGCAGTCTGAGCTGGTGGGGGCAGCTCTGCCCACAGCAGGGGAGTTGGAGCTGGGTGGGCTTGAAAAAGGTCCCTTCCTGCCAAGCCGTTCTGTGATTCTACTTAAGAAAACATCTGTTAGAGTACATTAGCAGACTTGAAAATCTTTCATAGTGGTTGTTCTACAGCTCACTGTATGCATGAGTGATTTAATAGAGCACTCCTGCAAAGATACTGCTACTGATTAGATTTTCCAAGGAGAGAATGCTTTTCAACGTAAGGTTCAGTCTTAGATGTTTTATATGTATATCTGTAATCTTCTCATTTAATTTAATGAACAGTGCAGCATGCTAGTGGGAGATTAAAAATTGTCTGTGGGCCCAAGTATTTTTGTACTCTTCCTTTCCATCAGTCAGCATTTAGTGCACAGTGCACACTTCCAAAGACTGCAGTTCTTTCCTTAGTCAAAAGATATCTCAGTTTTCGGTTGTAAGAACAGTATGGGCTTCAAAATGAATTACATTTTTTATTTGCATAATTGATTGGGAAAGTTTAGAGATTACTGGGATAGTAGATAGTTCCTAGAACTTCTAGCAAAGTTAAAGGGGGAAAATCAATTGATTGTATTTGTTATACGTACAGCTTTTCTACATCTATAACTACTTTTATTAACACTAACTTTGCAATGTAAAAGCTATGTATTTCAAATATATTCTATATTTGAAACAAAGTATCGTGTATAGACAAATCCTTTAAAGTCAGAGTACTGTCTTGCCTTGTATAAAAAGTGCTTCTAAAACAACTTGTGTCAGAAAATTAAGCATAGTGCTTCATAATTTGTGTATGTTCCTTTTACATACTGCCTAATGAATATTTATATATGGATGCCCAGACAAACAAGGCATACATCTCAATACTTAATGCTACATTACAGCAGTGTTTTTCTCGTGAAGATTTGGACTTCTTACTCTGTAACTACAATACCAGTGCTAATTGTAACATTGACCTTCAGGCACTCCTACTTGCACAAATGGATCAGTATGTGTTTAGAAGAAGTTATGTTTTTCTGCCCTTGATTTGCATCAACAAAAACGGCTAGGTTTCTGTTTTAAGGTGCTGATTATGTCCCTGCTGATGTCAGGGCCAATAGTACACTTCTGTTCTCAGGGAGTTTATTATTTAGTTGCTCTTCATTAGAATGGTGAGGGAAAACTACAAAGTCTTTATGTGAGTTGAATACAAAGATACAGAAGTTTGCAAATAGAAAATAATTTATTGCTTTCATAGTATAATCAAGCTTCAAATTCTGCAGGGGTGTCACCTTCAGACAATTATGAATGTGAGTTAACTTCTATGGACTCTATTTTCCCAAAGATGTTTTTTATTAGAAAGGTTATAGATGTTAAGCATCTTCTTTCCTTTTTTTTTTTTTTTTTTTTGACAGGAAATTCTGGTGATTAACAGTCATGGCAACCATAGAGGAACTGGCCCATCAAATTATTGAGCAGCAAATGGGAGAGGTACATACATTTTTCATCATATTTAGGAGACATTGAATAATAAAATGGACAGAGTAAGATGTAAAAACCAAAATCCCAAGAGAAACTAATTTTTAGTATACTGCAGGCTTCAGGAGACTCTTACATAGAAGATGAACTTACTGTGTCCATCTTAAAGTTATACTGCAAAATCTGCCTTGCCAAAGTTTCCCCACAGCAATGAAGTTACAGAAGTGTTTTCAGTAAGCGACGAGCTGCTCAGCTGTGCCTTTTGGATGTGTAGTGGTCTTCAGAGAGCTGCCTCATCATATGATTGCTTAGCTCACTTTCACTTAGGAACTTTACCGTCAAAGTTGTCACTACAGAGCTTTTACATTCCAACTTAAGAATTGCTTCATTTGTTGTCATTTTTGTTCTTATAAGTAATGCCTTGCTGTCATCTTCATTGTAAAATATTGGTTGACATTTGGCGTAAGTCAGAAGGAAGACTGAACTCTTGTTTCTGCTAACTCCTGTTTTTCATTTTTTGTAACCTATATACGAGTCTGCATACTGCAGCCAAAGAACTTCCAGGGATGTACAGGCAGTTTGGAAGTGTGAATACTGGGCATACTGTATGATCAATGAATATTAAGATGTTATAATTATGAAATAAACAAGAGTGTTTGATAAAGCAGACTATGATAGCAAAAGAGAATAAATAGAAGGCTTTCCCCTATCCTGGGCTCACTCACAAAACTCCAGCAAAGCCAATCTCCAGAAGAGATCCTTCCTCACTGGTAACCAGCTCTTAAATAGGTCTAGGAGCCTTCACCTGTGCTCCTCTGGCTGGCTCATTGCTTGCCTCAGGTTATCAATCTGAGGTTCAGGCCGTGATTCAGCAGTTCCCATACAGCATACATACTTTCGTCTTTAGCGCTGCTTTAAATTAGATAGGAGCAGAAAACTTTTATTTATTGGCTTGAAGTATCCACTCTTGGTTCCCTGTCTAGTACTGTAGATAGGATGAATTTAAAATAATTTCAGTTCCTCTCAATCCTGATTTCAAATGTAACAGTTGGGGACATGCTGCATGGAAAATCTATTCTGTATAAAATCTTACGGTTTTCAGTATTGTAGCATCTGAGAATTACTAAGGCAATTGCAATTTTTTTTCTTTCTCTCACTTTTCCTCTTCACATGGGGGAATGCTGTGTCTAGTGTAGCTTTGTTTTGGTTGTATAATTCCTTGGGGAAGTTTTGGTGGGGCTGTAATTTCTGTTTCTTGTGTTTTGGAAGTTAGGGGTTCGTCAAAGCTAGCTGAAGCATGTGTCCTAGTTGGAGAAGAGGATGGCAAGTTTAAATTATGATGCTTAGCTCCTGTGAGAATTGTTCTCAATTTCCTAACATGGTTCCATGAGACAGAGAGCTGATCTGGTGTCCCAGTGCCAGAAGAAGGGGAAGGTCTTTCTGTGTTCTGCACCAGCATCTGGCTGATACAAATGAAAGATTTTCTGCTGAAGTGATGAAGTTGATAGGTTTGGAGAAGGATCTAATGGGTACCAGAGGCAATTTAAAGAGATGACTGGTAGCCATCTCTTCGTACTACTCATCATCTTTTGCTGAGTTTGAGATAATACACATTTCTACATCAAGGGCACATTACTTGATTCTTGTAGGAAATTCATTTGATCTCTGAGAGCTTAACCTTTTGGCTTGCCTCAGCTACATTTAGTGAATAGAAATTGAAATTGGGCCTGCATATATGTAGGTCACACCAAAAGTAATGCCTCCCATTTATTTCCATGGAAACCACTGCCCTGCCAGAAAGGGCTTGAGGGTACTGGTGGATGGCAAGCTGGACATGAGGCAGCAATGTGCCCTTGCAGTCCAGAAATCCACCAGTATCCTGAGCTGCATCAAAAGAAGTGCAGCCAGGAGGGTGAGGGAGGTGATCATACTCCTCTGTTCTGTGCTGGTGAGACCTCACTTGGAGTACTGCATCCAGATGTGGAGTCCTCAGTGCAAGAGACATGGAGCTGTTTGAGAGTGTCCAGAGGAGGGCCACAGTAATGATCCATGGAATGCAACACCTCCCTCTGAGGACAGGCTGAGAGAGCTGGGGCTGTTCAGCCTGGAGAAGGCTCCAAGAGGATCTGAGAGTGGCCTTTCAGTACTTGAAGGGAGTCTCTAAGAAAGAAGGGGTCAGATTCTGTTTGATAGGACATGAGGAAATGGTATCAAACTAAAAGAGGGGAGATTTAGGCTGGATATAAGGGAAAAGGTTTTTACAATAAGGATGTTGAGGCACTGAAACAAATTACCCAGAGAGGTGGTGGAAATCCCCACCTCATTGTCCCTGGAGGCATTCCAGACCAGTCTGGACCGGGCTCTGAGCACCCTGATCAGCTGTAGATGTCCCTGCTCACTGCAGGGGAATTGAACAACGTGGCCTTTAGGTCCCTTCCAACTCTAAGGATTCAATAATTCTGTGATTCTGTTTTCAAATTCCTTTATCAATATGGAAAGCACAGCTCTGTATTCTTTGCTGTGCCCTGTGTTTAGCCAGTGTATCTAAACAGATACAATGATTTGCCATTGCTTGAGTCAGCACTGCGCAGTGCTGCCCTCCCCATGCCCTGCTTTCAGTCAACATAGCATTAACAGCACACTGACTGATTGGGCTCTGCAGGGTAGAGCCACTGCCTTTACAGCATGGGGAGGGGCTGGGCTGCATTGCCAGCCATGCTGAAACACATGCAGCCTGTGGGCCATGAGTTGGACATGCCTGATGTAATCTGTGGTTCTGTATGCTAGATATATGGTACTTTGTTTCCATTGACCTTTCAGATAATAGAGGAAAGTTGCACATTTGTCTAAACAGAATCTCCCATATTCAAACAAAATACAGTCTTTAACAACTTGTGTGGTTATTCTGATCAGTATTTATTTATTTATTTATTGGGCTGCAATGACATCTTTGTTCTGTATAAGCTGTCAAGCTGACGTTGTTTTTAGAGGATAATGGGTGGTTTTACTTTTTACCACATGTAAATTGCGACACTTCAGGGAGCAAGCATAAAGCCATTTCAGAATACGTAGCTTATTTTGTAAAGTAGGGACAAGTTTGCATAAAAATATGTTTGCCTGAAAGTCACCACTTGTGCATGCAGTTTGAAAGGCTGATGTGGAATTTGTGTGTGTGCAGGTACTTCTTACAAGCTCTCAACATTACTGTAGAATGGATTCTTTTTTGTCCTTTACTTAAGCAAAGTGGACAAATCGTGTCACTTCTGAAAGTGTTCACCTGCATGAAATACGTGGTATTTTTAGCAGGCAGTGTTCCAAGGTATTTTGGGTGGTAGTTTGGCAACCATTTCTTTTGGTGGTGCAGGTGACTTAAGCAGCATCCCCCCCGTCCCCAGCAGATTAATCCCACTGTCTCATTTTCAAGGCCAGGCTGGATGGGGCTTTGAGCAACCTGGTCTAGAGGGAGGTGTCCCTGCCCATAGCAGAGGGTTGGAAGTAGGTGATCTTAAAGGTCCCTTCCAAGCCAAACCATTCTATGATTCTATTATTCTGTGATTTGCTCTGATGTATCTGCTTCTGAGCATTGTGGAGATTTGGCCTGAAGGTTTGACCTACACTAAAAATAGCCCATATCTCTCTTTTGCTGCACTATTTTTTGACCTTCCTCAGTGTCACAGAGTCACAGAATGTCCTGTGAGTGTCCTGTTCCAGATCAATGAATGACTAAACAACACAACGAAGCTGAAGGGACAGGATCTCAGCTTATAACAGCTGAGACTGGTGCCAAAAGCAATGCATTTCTAGGTAAAGCTAAGATGATTGGAGTTTGTATCTGTGCTGGAAGGGGAAGTTTTGCTTCCTGCTTTTTCCCCTTCAGCATCAGAACCCGCAGTCTTCTTTCTCCTTTCTTATGCTGTCATTTCCACTTATATGGTGGTGCGGTAGCGCACTCAGGAAGCTGATTCAAGAGGAGCAAAAGTGCTCTTAACCAATCATGAAACAGTACAGATGTGGATATATATTCCTTATACCAGTTCCTGCAGAAAAAAAAGTTGAATAGGTACTTTTTTAAGGGAATGTATTTTTAAGTGAATGAATTTTTAAGTAAATGCTAGGAATTACTATGAGAGGAACTGCAGGATGTGACAGAGTTTTGATCTGTATAGCCATGCTGCAAAATACTAGGGGAGTTACTAGGGACACATAATTAAATGCAAAGGTATCTGAAAACTCTGTGAAGACAGATGTCTTTTGTACTACAAAAAAAACCCCACGTTTCAGACCAAGCCTCTGTAGATGGGAACTGTATTTGTTTTTTGCAGGCAAATAATCTAATTAATAATAGCCACATACATTTGGCTACAGCATGTGAAGAATTTTCAAAAATTACTGATAATTATTAAAGCACTTCCATAAGCTGTATCTGAGAGCAGAGGCTTAAATTTGTTTTTGGATGCAATGCTTGCTGAACTCATGTGTTTAATTGGTAGGTTCTTACTTGGTAGTTCCCCAGTAGAGAATTCTGTTGCTTTGGTTCTGTCTCTCTAAGGCTCTGTGGAACAAAATTCTGTGCATTGCTGTGTCTCCACTCTGGAAATTCTTCAGCTGCTTTATATAAGCCGTTAAGATAAAATTATATTGGTTTAAATGTAATGCAACTATGATGAAAGGTACTGTGTTCAGTAAGTGCTTCATGAACACCAGCAGTAATAATTCAAAAATACTCGGTCCAATGGACTGAAATGGATTTGTCAACAACTGTTCTGCTCAGTGTTTCTGGATGTCTAACTGAAGGTGTTTTTAGAATGGCTTTAGAACTCTGCCATGAACAGAACTTCTTAACCAGCAAAGTTACACTGTTGAATTAGATTGAATTAGATGCAAATGCAAACACTTGTGTTCCTGGCACAGTAAGCGTCACCCCTTTCCTTAGCCTTGTGCAGAGAAATCAGAAGTTGATAAAATCTTATGGTACTACATCCATTAAGGTAGTATATCTCTCCGTAAGGTATTCTATCCACTGCCAATCTATTACATTTATTTATTCTTTCTAGATCACCCATTCCCAAGGAGCTGTTGCACAAACACTAATGGATGGGGCAGCACAACGAATACAGATCGTCCCTTCAGATTCAGGCCTCTCTTTACCACAGCGTATACAGGTATGCTTCATCCAATGTATTTTAAAAGCAGCAATGAAGTCTTTATTTTCACCAAGTTTTGTTTATGGTCCTTCTTTATTTGCTTCATTTTACTGTCTGAAGTGCAAATACTCACTCCTGGGTAGCAGAGATTATTTATTTATAAACAGGAAGAAAAAGATTATTCCAATGCTTGGTGGTTTTCTTTTTTTTTCTTTTAAGATTTTTAAGAGGTACAAAAATAATAACTGCTGAATAAAAAAAAATGTTATTCCTAAAACTGTAATAATACTGCTCTTTAAAAACTGAATACTTTTTAGATTTGGTAATTCATCTGAGTTGTTGGAACGTTTCAATATTTTGGAGCAGAGATGGGAGGAATTCTGCATCACACTGTTGATACAAGTCATGGGAAATGAAAAGGCTGTCTGATCTCTTCAGTGCATTAAAGGATGCTGGCTTTTGGCCATCACAACCAATGTTGTACATCCCAGTAAGCTAATTTATAGCCTCACCAGGTAATAAATCTCCAATTCAAGTGAGGTAGGAGTTTTTTGGCAATGAATGTGGGTAGTCAAACCACGATAAACATAGATGTGTATATATGGAGGTTAGCAAGATTTGGGGGATGAGATTTTGTATTTTGTTCCTTAAAAGTCAGTGCAAGTCCTTGGAAGCTTTTTATTTTTATATCTCCTCCTAGAGAAAAATATCAGCTGCAGAAGAGATACATGTTGGTGCATACAAAACCACTAGTTTGTGAGCCAGCTGCTGCTGTAGCCTCGGCGGCTTTTACTTTTGCTGCTTCACTCTTCAGTGTTTTTCATTGTTTACTCCTGTTTCAGTGCATTGCATTCAAGCTTTGCCCTGCCTTTCAAGAGTCTTCACAGGCATCCCATACATGATCCTGTGTTTTATTTTCTTGTACTCTGGTCCTGGTACCAGCCTTATGTATCCACTAGATCTTTTTTTCAGCTACCTCCACTCCTTTTAAATGGTTCATGTACAGCTGTACATTTAATTAATTTATATTAATTAAGTGCTGTCTCTTTATACTGTTTCCTTTGTCACTGTACGTATGCTGTTGTGCAGCTGAACACCACACAGCCGTTCAGTCGCTCTCACAGTGGGATGAGGGAGAGAATTGGCAGCAAAATAGAACTGTGGGTTGAGATAAAAACTATTTACTAAGACAGAAGAGGAGAATTGAAAGAAATATGTGATGATAACAATATATATATAGCCATAATACAATTATTTACCACCCACTGACCAACATTTAGCAACACCACAACTGCTTGCCAACCCATGGCCCAGCTACAACACAGTGTCTCACCACTCATCAACTGATGCCCCACCAATCCCTGAGCAGTGGCTGCCCTCAGCCCTTGTAGTGCAAAGCTATTTAATGTAATTCCCGTATCAGGGCCTGAGTGCAGGGTGACGTATAAAACCATGAGCCTTTATTGTTGAACAGCAAGTCAGTTTTGTTGTTTCAAAATCAATGTCAGTTGTCTAAACCCTTGTGTCAGCTTCTGGAGCAGGGTTCAGGTGAAGAGAGAACTACATTTGGAGAATGACTATAGCTACTGCAAATATTATGCACATAGAAGAACTATTTATAGGGACAGTTTTGTTCTGGGGATCTTTATATAGTTTTTGATCATCACAGCTAGTTGGAAGATGACTTGTTTCTATTACTTTGTCCCTTGTCTTTTTTTTACCATACTCAACCATTCTTGCTTCAAAGTGGATGGCAAGTGCTTTGGGATAATGGTTTTCTTTTGATATGTTTGGGACAGCACTCGGGAGAATGATGTCCTTCCTGTAGTAGGCATCTACAAACATGGCAGCCATATAAATAATAACAGACTCAGTAGGAGACAGAAATCAGTAACAAAAACTTTTGACAAAGCAGAATTTATAGTGAAAAGTAAAAAAGTTTGTACAGCCAAATGCATCTCAGTGAAATGTTAGATTAGTTTTGAGCTTATAATTTTTTTTTTTTTTTTTTTTTGCTTTATCTGATTATTCTTAAATGTATATAAAGAGATGATATCCCAGATCTTGAAATTCAAAATCATGATTAAAATATACTTTAAAACATATTTCAGTAGTTACTCTTTTTAGGGCACGTTAGCACTTTGTTTCTGTGGTCGTTTTGCTGTGGTAGGCAGCTCAGCACCTCTGTACCGCTCTCACTGAATTCTCCACAAAAAGATGGGGAGAAAACACAATGGGAAAAAAAAACTTGTAGGTTGACATAAGGATGGGAAGATCACTCTCAAGATATTGTCACAGGGAAAGCAAAGAGATTAATATAATTTATTTGCTACTGATAAAAGACCACAGCAGTAAGAACTGACAATCGGCTGAAAACACCTTCCTCCCCATCCACCCTCTTCTACCTTCTCCCTGCAAACAGGGAAATGCAGGTTGTGGTTCATAATGCTACGTCTGTGCCATCCTTCATGGTCCTTCTCTGCCACTGCTCCACATGAGGTCCTTCCCACCAGATGCCATCCTTCCCAAACTGATCCCATGCATGCTTCCCTCAGGCTGCAGCTCTCCAACCATTGCCCCAGTGCAGCTCCATACCATGGGGCCCACCCTTCAGGCACTGCCCACACGGGTCCCACCATGGGCTCCTCCATGGCTGCAGTGCTCTGTGTGGTACCTATGGGCTGCCAGGGGATGCCCTGCTCCTCTGTGGGCCTCTCCTGTGCTGCAGGGAACTTCTGCTCCTGCCCTCCTCCTGCACTGGCCTTGGTGGCTGCAGGGCTGCTTCTCTCACATTTTCTCACTCCTCTCTCCCAGCTGCTGCAGTGTGGCAGTTTTTCCCTTCCTTGGCTCTGCTCTGCCAGAGGCACACCCAGCATTTCTTTTGGCTCAGCTCTGGCATCAGTGGGGCCCTTTTAGAGCAGCTGGAGCTGGCTCTGATCAGACATGGGGCACTGCTGGGCTCTGCTTATAGAGCCATTCCCTGCAGTGCCCAGTTAGAAATCCTTGCCACTTACAGCCAACACATAGAAAAGTTGGATGTCATGTTATTAAATTTTCAAATCCCTGGGTTTTTTTTTAAGCTAGTGCTCTGTGTTTCAACATGTTTTTGATTATTCCCAGAAGAGTAACAGGATTATTGCAATATTTAATTTATTGAAATTATATTCAAACATAGTCAAAATACATTAACAGGCAAGGCAATGAAGGAAAAAGAAAATTGCTATCTTACCATCAGGGCTTTTAAATGAAATAGACACAAGAAATATGTTTTTAAGCAGTCAGTCCTGAGCTATTATATTCCTGCTTTATAGCATGATCTCTTTGGCAACACTGAGTTTCACATTATTAAGAAACATAATGTGTTGTCTTTGGGGCCAGGTGGATTTTTCTTTTCCTTTCTGATTATTTTCTCTTACCTCAACATTTAAAGTACCTGAATTCGGGCTATTATAAGGTTGTTATACTTTGAGTTGTTCCATTTTCTAAGTCCCATTGAGATTCAGGTGGAGTTTTTGCAGGCATCTGACTGTAAGAATTCTGCTGCAGACAAACTGCTCTTAATTATTTAAACTGCTTTCTGTTACATCTATCAGTTGTCATACCTGGAGAGCGCAGAAAGCTTGTGTGCAGATTGAATAGCTCAGCATAGATGCATAACAATGTATCCACTATGTCATGCAGTGAAAACCATGTGGGCATCCCCCTAGAATTCCAGGAAGCAATTTGAAGAATTAAGACTGTTTAGTAGCAGTGAAGTGAACCATGTGAAGTAGAAATGGCTCTTCTGCCATATTTATCCACAAATACGTAACAATTTTAAAAATAAGAGGTGGACTATAAGCTGGAAATCAGATAATTCAGCTCATATATATATATATATATATATAAGAAATTCAACCTTAGCTTGGAATATGTTGTTTTTTAATATACTTTGTGTAAACCTAACTAGATAAGGTGTATGCCTTTCTGTTTTCATGTTTACATTTGCACTTTGAAATTTTGATAGTGAAACAGATCTTCAGTGTGAGCATCTTTTAAAGAGCAGGTCTAGATATTCAAGAAAGAGCACAGTGTTCTGTGTTTGACTTTGTACATGCTAGCACCCAGTTGAGGATTACATGCATTGGATTTCTTCTGATCCCAATGGAGTAGAGGTGTTTGGAGGTGGGGATGGAAAATTGGGTAATTTATTCAGTAATATTCTGGGTAATAGTCAGAAATGACATGAGAAATAAAGATTATAAAATGAAAAATGGAATGTGAGGAATAAGTTAGGGAAAGAAAGGAACTGAAAGGGTAAGGAAGTTTGCCTTCTAAGGAATCAGAAAGGAACTGAAAGAGGAAATAAAGGACTGCAGTAGTCATTTGTGGCCCTGAATGTGTGCATGTCTTTGAAAACCGAATGGAAAACCCTTTATTCATCATATTAGTAACTGCTGTGGGGTTTTTGTCCTACCATGCTACCCTCAACCCCAATCTCATGACAGCTCTAGTTCTTGTTTTATATTTTTAGCCCTTGGAATTTTATAATTCTAGCCTAAAAAAGTTCTTTGCAAAGAAAAAAAGAAGTTGGACACCTGAAAGTGTTATTAGCAAGTTTGATTGATCTGTAGTTAAAAAACAGTTTGCAGCAAACAGTCACTGCAGAACGATTCTCCTTAATGCCTACACTAAGCCAGGCAGACTGACATGAAGGCTTTTGGAGAGAAAGGCAAGAAGTGATAAAAGTGAGTTTTGTAATGGAACATATATGGAATCTTGATTATTTTATCCAAGGATTAACCTTAAAACAATTATCAACAAATATCAACAATATTATTAACAATAATCTGAAAACAAATTTTGTTTAATCTAAAAATGGGGGCTTATTGGAGAGTTCTTTAATAAAAGTCTGCTGTATTTGTGTTTGAAAATAGGAAAGATGGAAAAGAAAAAACCCGAACCAAAACCCAGCAGCCTGTAGGTTTGTTCTTGATTAAGAAATGACACATGAAAAGTTTATTGGTTTAAAAAAAAGAAAAAAGTATCCGGGAGAGAGATTCTGTTTTACTTGCATATTTTATTTAGGAGCATATATGTAAAAAAAACCAGAGCAAAACCCTGAAGCACAAATTGTTTGTAAAGATTCAACAAGATTTTTTTGCTGTTTGATACTTTTCTTTTTTCACTTTGATGTGTACAGTTGGTGCTGAAGGATGTTTGTTGTGAAGCATCCCAATATGGAAGGTGCTAAGGGCTGTGCATGGCATGCAGTGAGTCCAAGAATTAAGATTTCTCATAACCTTGTGGGTCTTAGGGCTGAGTTACACACACCTCAATTTCTGGATGCTGTAATTGTCAGCAGATTTGGCAGTTGTAAAAGCATTGGCCATTTATAAAACTTGGATTTTAATTCAGGTTTTGATTTCGAACGTAAGAGTGACTTGAGTGCATTTAAAAGCAAGTGAAAATCCAAGATTTTGCCTTAGTTTTTGTAACTCTTGTGTGACAGAGGGGAAGACAGTCCTGCTTCACAAATGTCGAGGGCAAAATTCCAGTTTTCTTCAAGTGCCCAGGCTGGGCCCCAAAGGTGATCTTAAATTACCATAACAATTTGAGATAAATGTATTATTAGATTGTCACAGATCAGCAGACGGGCCAGAAGATTCAGATTGTTACAGCACTTGATCAGAACTCAGCAGGCAAGCAGTTCATCCTAACAAATCATGATGGCTCTACCCCAAGCAAGGTGATCCTTGCCAGACAAGATTCCACTCCAGGAAAAGTTATCCTAGCAACTCCAGATGCTGCAGGTGTCAACCAACTGTTTTTTGCATCCCCTGATATATCTGCACAACACATCCAGGTAGATAATCCACTTTATTTCATAATTTTGATTCAAATGGAATAAGAAGAGATGTTTTATTTCCAAATATGTATGTCTGCGTTCTCCTTTTTTGAGGTTTTTATATTTTTTAATGCTCTACTTTCCCTTGCATTAGGAGTTAGCATTACTGCTTAGAAATTACAAGGAAAACAAATTTTTTGGTAAACGTACTGCTTTTAAAATTTATACCCTGGCATGTGAGATTAGAAAGAATACTGTTACTTTTATTGTCATTTCCAGCTGTACCAACAGTCCTTTTTTATTGCTGCTTCATTGACTCTCCCTCTATATTCACATATTGAAAAAATAATCTTTTCATCCTTGTCTTTATCGCTTAACATTTCCTTCTGCTTGTTTTCCTTTTCATATGCCATTGTTCATACACTGTCCACTACTGTGTGAATTGTATTCCAAGGCAGTTTCTCAGACTATGAGCAGGGAAGAAGGCAGCACTAAAGATTCTGCATTTACAAAACCCAAAATGGTTTCAGAGTGTCAGTAGTCAGGGTTGTATCTCCCTAAACTGATGCACGGTGCTCTTCACTCCTTCACACACAACTTGTGCTGCTTCCTTAGACTTCATACTCCAGCTTTCAAGTCTTCTGCCCCATATCCCCAGCTGAGCAGTGTGCGATGGCACTGATTTGGAGGGTGTGAAGAACATGCACAGAAGACCTGGGAGATGTGAGCTCCTTCTGTGTGAAGTAGGGTATTATTGCACTTCACATAGTTACTGCATGTTGATTTACCAATGTACATTTATTCAGATGGTAAAATACATTGGTGTGGCAGTCTGGGTGACAGGAGGGTAGCTGCCGTCTCCTTAGTGCAGTATCTTACACCTGCACAGTGGCCAGAAACAGGTGCTTAAGTAAGTGTTAAAAACTGTGAAAGAAAATAATGATCCTTCTGAGCGTATCCTTTCCTTTCCATTACTCGATGATTTAGAGGGACCTCCTGACCTGGAGATTGCAGTGAGGCCTTCTTTGATAACTGCCACTAAAGTTAATGACTTCTTTGTTATTTCTAGGAGACCATTCTAACAGACCATTTGTGTCTTGGTCTGTATAATAGCCTGTGGCAATAAAACTAAAAAAAGTGAAAAGATTCTATTGCTTCTATAAATCACTGTCATGGCCCCTTCAAGTAATCTCTTTTCCCAAGGGAAGAGTCCTGATCTTCTACTTTACTGCTTTTCTGGGAGCCAGTCCACAGCTCCGATTCGCATGTTGCACGTGTTGTGCAAGCAGTAGCAGAAAGCAGTTCAATTGAAATTTCAGCCTGTGTCTTTGTGTGTTTTAGGTAAACTTTAACAAAACTTTTAAATAGCAGGGTATGATCTGATGTAATCCTCAGAAGAAAGTTACTTTCAAAGAGAATTTAAAAGATGAGAAGTGTGTACCCTTGTATAAAGGCTGAGGTATCGAGAGGCAGTCTGGATAAAAAATTAAAAGCTGTAGTTTTGATTGTACATTTTGGGCAACGTGGGAGGGTCTGAGAAACAACAGGATGTGCTCTCACTTCAGTTAGATTGTTCTATTGCCAGCTAGTATATAGTTGCAGAGATTGTATTTCACTGACTTTCAGTGAGGATAAAAAATAGTGTCATTAATGTGCTTTTCAACTCCATATTCTTTGGGCTCTTTCATACTTTCTGTCCTACACAATCTTTTGTCTGCAGTTTTGCCTTTCACATCATTCTTCTTATTTCATGACCTTCACTTGAAATACTCATTCATTTGCTATGCAGAAAATCTCTCCTTCACATTTTATCTTTACATTGACACTTTGCAAGGCTCTTTCTCCCATCATCTGTTCCACCCTCAGTGGCTCTTCATCTCAGTAAACAAGTTTATTCTACGTGTTTAAAGTCAGTTGGTGAGTTCTGTGTGTCTGGGATTTTTATTTCCTCCTTGGGCCAAATTCTGTAGTCCTTCCTTACGTGGAACTTACAGCTTCAGGGCAGCAGGTTTCATCTATGGAAGGACTTAAAATAGGTTTTCTTCTTTTATATAAGCTCATGAACTTGTATAACAACGGGAATTAGAACAAAATGAAAGGTTAACATTCTTTTAACTTGTCATGATTATTTTTCTTAAGAAGATGTTATATTGAAAGAAAAACATAATAGGTGAATTTCTGAGGCAGCATTATTAATTAATAAAGGCTAACTAGAAAGAGAGAGACTTGTTAAACATTCCCTTACATAAGCCTATGCTGTTTTCCAAACGAGTGATTTCTTAATTGTCTCTGTGGAAGATGAGGTACCTTCTCTTCCAGAAAGTTACCCTTCTTGTTATCAGAGGTCTTGTCTTGAATAAGCACGGAGGGGATGAGGGTGTCAGACTTCCTATTAAGATGCTGTAGAAGTTAGAAACTCATAGCATTTCTAAATTATATCACTTTTTAATTGGAAGAATGTGCTGTTTTCCACTTCGTGTTATTGTCAAGATGATATTTGCTTGCTGCTTCTTGTTGTGATCCTTTGGATTCCTTTTTTACATTGGTTATTTTTCTGTGCTTTGTTGACTCACTGAGATGGGTCTTTTTAAGGTCAAATGGAAGGCCACAGTGCCTGCCCTGCAGCGCTGTGGTTCTGATGTGCTTAATGATGCTTTTCAGGTGCCAGAGAGAAATGAGTAAGACATGAATGTAGTCATAATGTCAAACTGTTATTAAAAACCAAAGCGTGCATCATTTGATAATTCATGGCACAGTTAGAATTCATTTTCTATCAGCCACCATCTCTGTCTATTATTAAAAAAAAAAAAAATTGACAAATCAGAATATAGAAATAACAGCCTCTACGTGGCAGTCATAATTTACATTCAAAAAATAATTTGCATTCATTAGACTGTACATACAGAATTCAACAGAAGGTATGTATTCAACAAAACAAGTATGCAGAGAATAAATGTTTTTGAAAATGTCAGCCCATTTTCCAGAGGTAGTATTTAAATAAATCTTGAATTCTTTTTGGAAACATTACAGGTAAAATTGGGAGCACAGTGCATGGCAGGTAGCTCTGCTCCTTTGTGTCTATGAAGGCTGTAAAACGTAGTCAAGAAAACCTCACAGTTTGTCGATTTGGTCCCTTAGAAGAAATCACAAAGGTGATTTACTGTGATATTTCTTGATGGTGAGAAAAATAAAAATGACATTATGTTCTACTTTCTTTCAGATTTTAACAGACAACTCTCCCAATGAGCAGGCCCTAAATAAAGTGTTTGATCTGTGTGTTGTGTGTGGAGACAAGGCATCAGGTATTTCACTTGCTTGTTTTTAATAAGGTAGTGCAACTTCATAACAGCAGTTTAAAGTTCTTCTTAAGGGATATAACAGTTTGCACACATATAAATAGATGTATGTACATGCATAAACAGAAAAGATAGACTGTCTTTTTCAGCAGAGAATTAAACTAAATGTTTCTTTAATGTCTGTGGGTGGGACTTGTTTACTTCTGTTTTACTTTAGAAATGCAAACTATGTTTTCTACCAGATAATTTTTGCCTTTTTTTCCTTAGGCTAATACGTTTTATTTTGTATTGTAAAAATTGGCTGAAAAAATGACTTAGGTGACTTGCTGTTAAGAGCTTTTTGTTACTTAAAAGGAGATCATGCAGTGAACTGTGTTATTGTTGTCAAGTCAGAAACAGGTGAGAAACCTTTTAATTATTTAAAATATGAAACCAACAGGTAAAGAAGACATTGTAGGTATGTGAAAAGAAGTGCTAATGTGAGATTTCTGTGGGACAGCTCACTATTTGAAGAACCACTATTAAAACTGCAAAAATGCACTATAGTTCCAGTTAAAAATGAACAGTGTATTCACTGGCAAAATAGAGTGCTAAGGTAGGAAAAATGTGTCACGCACTAAATTTTGCCTAATGATAACAAGAAATGGGAAGGAAGTGTGGTGGGAGTTCTGTACTGAAGAACTCTGATGCTTTTCCAGCTGTCTCCCACATTCCTCTTGCATGTGTGCCTGCCACCAGGTATTTCAAATCTGTCAGAGCTGAAATTACTGAGAGGGTAGAAGGGAGCTGAAATTACTTCTCTTGGAAGGGAGAACTGAAAGCTCCTTTCTTTTTTCACTTGGTAATGTAGTGTAAGAGAAATGAGGTGTTAACTTGACTCTACTTATTTAGCTACAATTAGACTATGTAGGGAAAATGATTGCTCCCTCAGAACATTCTTATGCTTTATCTGGTTGAAATCTGTGTGATGATCCTCGAGTAATAATATCACAATGTGATAACTGCAATTAAATACTTTCTTTTGGGAAGCAATGGGAATGGAAGGCAAGGAAGAGACGTAGATAACATTAGGATTTCATCATGAAAGCCAGTAGAATGTAGCAGAAGCTGCTTAAATAGAAAACAATCTGAAATCTTTCTACTGAAGCCAAATTTAGCTTAAAATTGTAGCTCCTCTAAATGTATGTCAGATTTCACCCTTCACAAAAGAAATTTCTGCCAAATATAGGTTGTAAGATGACAAGGTAAATGTAAGATCTAGTTGGAGTGCTCCAGCTGGGAGGGCTCCTATGGATCCCAGCACAGGGCTGGAGTATCCCATGAGAGTGATCCCAGGAGCAGTTTGCTCTGGCCTGACCCATACATACTGAACCCTGGTAGTGAATTTAGGCAGAGCCATGATTTCCTGAGCGGCTGTAGGTGCCTCCTGTGCGGTAAGAACTGTTACACAGACTGCTTTGCAGACACCTCCAAACTGAGTGCAAGAAGCTGCATCAAAGGGCAGGTGAAGAAAGAAGGGGACAGGCTGTTCAGCAGGTCTGTTGTGATAGGATGAAGGGGAATGGTTTCAAACTAAAAGAGGGGAGATTTAGATTGGATACAAGGAAAAAGGTTTTTTACTATAATGGTGATGAGGCACTGGCACAGGTTGCCCAGAGAGGTGGTGGATGCCCCATCCCTGAAGAAATGTAGGGTCAGGCTGGAGGGGCTCTGAGCACCCTGATCAGCTGTAGGTGTCCCTGCTCATTGCAGGGCTGTTGGACTGGGTGACCTTTAAGGGTTCCTTCCATTTGAAATGCAAAGCCCAGGTGCTTTGCAGGATGGATATTATGAATATGGATATATGTGAATATTTACTCACCAGCCCAACTGCTATTAAAATGTTACACTTAGTGATATTTTACGTATGATGCTTTGTAAATTTCATATTTAGTCCTATGTTAATACGGTTCTGATAAAGGAATCTAGAAAACCTAGAAACCAGAGTTTCTGGAAATTTCAGGCATAAAAAAGTTTGAGAGGAATGAGGAAAGAATCTAAAAATATATTTTCCCTTAAATTAGTTCATATTTGAAATGTATTTCTGTAAAGTGCCCTGCACAGGTCAAAGAACAGCCTTGATGCCTGCACTGTATGTATTTTGAGTGTTCGTAGGTGATTTTGGTTTAATTTTTTTCTTCAGGATCATAGAATTGTCACTGTTGGAATTGTCAAGAATGCCTTAATCAGAACTTGAGCTTTTTAGTGGTATTTATAATTTGTGCTATGGAAGAATCAAAGCAATTTACTCCTGAAAAATAATTAAACTCGACTTTCTGTAGTACATCCTAGCAATTTCTATATGTTGGTATTATAAATTAGAAAATTCACTGCAGATTTTTTTTAAAAATTGATCTAGCTCTATTAGTTTATTTCTGTCATTCTAGAGTTTTACTGAAAGAATTACTGATGTAACATTGTCTGTAAGGAAAGTGAAAGGTGAAAGCAGGGCTTTGGAATTATCACTTAGTGCTGACAAATACGATGTTTGCAGGTTCCATCTTCCACTAGCTATAATGCATAACATTTATACAGCTGAATTTGTAATGAGCAATAGCAGCACTGGACTCCAGGGGCATTAAAAAAAATGGAAAAGAATGTGTAAATTCAGAGTTTATTCTGCGTTGTGGCTAACTTGTTCTCTTAGCTTTTTAACACTGCTGTCAGGAGGTTCAGCAAGAACTTCATAAGCAAGTTGGTTATTTGCCCTTTCAAGATAAGTATCTGGCTGAAGTGCTTTGAACTAGAAATACGTTTCACTTATATTTTTGTTGTTCTGTATCCACGTGATTTAAGGGCTGTAACCTATGGAGGAAAAGCAAGAGTGTTTTGAGAAAAGGTCTAAAGAAGAAGAGATAGTACAGTGTAAAATTAAAGTCTTAATTTATGTTATTCCGAACCCAGGACGTCACTACGGAGCAGTAACTTGTGAGGGTTGCAAAGGATTCTTTAAAAGGAGCATTCGGAAGAATTTGGTGTATTCGTGCCGAGGAACAAAGGACTGTGTCATTAACAAACACCACCGGAATCGCTGCCAGTACTGCCGGCTGCAGCGATGCATCGCCTTCGGGATGAAACAAGACTGTAAGTCTGGAAAAATACCCGTCATTTCAGCTGGTTGGTTGGCTAGGTTGTTTTTTTCCTGAGTTATAACTATGAACAGTCAAAATGGTTATGAAAATGGAAGGTTAAGTAAAAAGAACAAAGATAATGGACATTTCTTAGACTGTAATGTGTGATGTGACTTACTAGTTGCGTGCTGTTTTATTAGCTGTGCAGTGTGAGAGGAAACCTATCGAAGTGTCAAGAGAAAAGTCTTCAAACTGTGCAGCTTCTACAGAAAAGATCTACATTCGGAAAGATCTTCGCAGCCCATTGGCTGCAACTCCAACTTTTGTAACAGACAATGAAACAGCAAGGTAAGTGCATTCTACTGTAGACAAGCTACCTCTGTTTCTTGAAATCACCCCAGAGTTGACACTTGTGCTATTTTGTGCCAGGTCAACAGGTCTGTTGGAATCAGGAATGTTCGTTAACATTCAGTCTGGCATTAAAAGCGAGCCTACAGTGCTGATGACTCCAGATAAGGTATGATGACATGACTGATGTATTGATGCTTTTGGTTTGATTGTTATATGAAAGGGTGTGTAGGGATGGAAGGTTGTTCTGTTTTGCTATGCTTTTGATAAATTGAGTTTTTAAAACATTGCCCAGTGTTGCAGATGTCTCTCTTCAGAAGAATGCTGTTAGCCCTTCATAGAAAGAATGTGAAAAGCTCTACAAAGCAAATGCCTCCCTCCTTTTAGACAGCTTTAAGGGCTGCTCTATTTTTCTTTGTATTTGGCAATTCTGACGCTTTGAGGTTTTTTGATTCAAGTAGAGTAAGGCGTTTGCAAAATCTCACATGGCTGTGGCATTATCACAGTGCATTTCGTAAATATTGTTAGTTTTTTCCCCCTGTGTTGTTTTTCTTCTTTTTCTCTTTTTTTTCCCAAAGCTAATGAGAGCTGTCTCAGTAGTGATCTTTTTTCTGATGTATTTCCAAGCTGGGCTTTCCTTTATTTCCATTGTGCTATGGGTACTGATGCACTAAAGTGATGTGGTAATGGCCCTACATATGCACAGTAGGAAGCTTTTGTATTTTTCTAGCCAATATTAAATCACCTCATACTGTTTTTGTGCATTTTGCCTCCCTCTGTCTTCAAAATTTTACTACTTTCTTGATAATGCAAAGAAGGAAAGAAGATGGTAAAAATATAATCTAGTGCAGTTTTATAATCCCAATGATGGACTAGTGAGTGGAGATGCTAAAATCTCTCCCTGTAGCTTGTGTCTGTGGCATTCTTTCTGAAAGCACTAGATAGCTGTTACTTGTAAAACCAAGCGTCTAAATATTTCATATTTTATTAACAGTGCAGTGTCTAACTGCTGCATGATGATTGCCCATTTATTGAAAGTAATAATTTTCTAACAGGTCTATTCTCATTAGCTCAGTTCTTCATTAGTGTAAAGGAGTTCTTCTGTTTCAAGTTATCTACTGCCAATAAGAAAGAATTAAAAGCTGTATTTTTCTCTTAGGTTGAAGCCTGTCAGGGAGACTTAAGTACCCTGGCAAATGTGGTGACATCTTTAGCAAACCTCAGTAAATCCAAAGATCTGTCACAAAGCAGTACAGAGCTGTCTATGATTGAGAGTTTAAGTAATGGAGATGGATCGTTACCTGAACTTCAGCAAGAAGAACAAGGAAGTAGTGATGTTACAAGGTAAAGCATGTTCCACTTGAGATGTTACCCTTCTCAAGAATATCTCTGTCAGTTCAGAGATAATTAATTTAATTATCATGGTTTAGGTGATTTGCCTGCATTAAAAATAATAGTAGTAACAGCATGAACTCATGTTACGGTTCAGTCTTGTAGGATTCTCCCAAAGGAAATCATAAGAAAGTTCAGTTAGAGACAGAAAATACTTCTAGTTATTTGTTCAGTTTGGGTATTAGGCAAAGGCTCTTTGGCAGAGGGTGGGGGGCATGGCACAGGCTTCCCAGGGCAGTGGGCAAAGCTCTAAGCTGCTGGAGTTTAAGAAGCATTTGGACAATGCTGTCAGATACAGTCTGATTTTGGGTGGTCCTGTGTGGAGCCAGGAGTTGGACTCGATGGTCTTTGTGGGTCCCTTCCAACTCAGGAGATTCTGTGATTCTGTGAATTTCAACTTAAATCTTTCAGCTGATGTTAAGGACTAAAAGGTAAGAATAAAATAAGTTCGATTTTTGTACTGTATTCTTAGTATTAAGGGAAACTGTTTCTTGAAGATCTCATCTGTAAGTGGTTTATTACTCCTAAATGTTAATTGCCTTAAAAGCTTGAAAAGCCTTTTATTTAGAGGCAGAAAAACTCAAAGAATGCTCATTGCTGATACAGATGCATTCATTATGGGTTTGGGTCTGGGTCTGTTTAGCCTTGAGAATAGAAGACTGAGAGGGGACCTGATCCAGGTCTATAAATATCTGAGGTGTGGGGGGCAGAACGGCGAGGCCGGACTGTTTTCAGTGGTGAGTGGAGACAGGACAAGGGGAAACGGCTGGAAACTGCAGCATAGGAAGTTCCACACAAATGTGCTCAAGAACTTCTTTACAGTGAGGTGACGGAGCACTGGAACAGGCTGCCCAGGGAGGTGGTGGAGTCTCCTTCTCTGGAGATGTTCAAGGCCTGCCTGGATGCCTACCTGTGCGACCTGCTGTAGGGAACCTGCTTTGGCAGGGGGGTTGGACTCGATGATCTCTGGAGGTCCGTTCCAACCCCTACAGTTCTGTGATTCTGTGATTGTGTATTTAAAAACTTCTGTCTTGCACAGGTTTTAACTCAACATAATGGGATGTATCTTTTATAGTACTTGTTTGTTTATTCCTTCAGTGAGAATCATGCTCTTCCTTGATTGTCACTCCATCAGGCTTCTGACAGCTGTCTCAGAAGTATTCTTTTACACTTCATCTATATTACACATGTGGTATTGGAAATGTGTATGTAGAATAAACCAATCCAGAAAAAAGTATTAGAATGTAATGAAGCAGTTTATACTGACCCCAAATACATGGTTTTCCCTATAGTCCAGTCACCTACTCAGTGTAATGTCAAGCAGAACACATTTGTTCTGCTCCTTTCTCCATATGTGCTGCTTGTAAAGTTGATGTGACTTGTATTATAGCTGCTGGTCTGGACCTTTGCTGTGTTCTTCTAGTTAAATAATATGCAGTGTAAGGAGTGCTATTATGTTGTGCTGATAAACATCAAATGGCTGTTCATAAAGGTGCAGTTAATAGTAAGTTTGCATGATAATCTTTCGTTTCTTTGGTTCCAGGTGCTTGCTTTTGTTCAGCTTTAAAAATGCATCTGTGAAAAGCCATTGAGTTCTCTCAGTCAGAGTGTGCCGGAGCTCTGACTCAGTGTAGGCATGCCCTTATCTAGTGGGTAACCTCACGGATTTCCAGGGGGGACTTTCAGTTCAAATACTCCTGCAAAAGGGAAGTTGTTACCCAAGCAGAAAGTATATTTTTAATCAAATCTTTTATTTCCTTGCCAGGCCTTGTGCCAGCTTGATCTTACTGATGCGGATGTGTACTGACAAAAATGAGTTCATGGGATTTCAAAAAGCAGGTTCTATCTATCAGTGTTTTGCATGCATTCTGTTATATTCCTTTGCTTGCAGATACTGTAGTTAAGCTTTCAGTTTTGCTGGCACAGATTTAGTATAACTTTGTTTCAGGTATTCTGCTGCTTTTATGTTATAATGTTACATGTTTTGTCGTCTGATGGCTTCATTGGCCATGTTCGAATGTTAGTAATCAGAAGTCCTGTCACGTGTCTGTGACTGAGCTCAAGAAAAGACAACCACAGTTGTTTCGAACAGAGTGTCAATACCATGGATTTTAACACTGATTGTACCTTTTTTTGTTACTTAGTGAGCCTTGTTTCTGTAACTTCAAGGCAAGCTGTAGCCTGGATCCTCTTTTCCTTAGTGTTTTATATTGCAGCCGTTGTTCATTTTAAAGCATAGCATATGAAGGGAACCCACAGCATGGAACTGTTGTGGAACAGAACTTCTGCAAGCTTTCTTCTGCAAATTTAGGAGGAAGGAGGGAGAGGACTCTTTGAAAGCAGACTTTCAAGAATAACTTGGAAGAAAAGTAACGTGGGCAGATGTGGTTACAGAGTGTACATGCCCAACATATTCAAAAAAGACCATTTAAGCTAAACTAGAATAATATGTAGAGACACATAACACTACTTAGTGGGGAGATCTTGTTCCTGGCTTACACTTCTGTACCTGCTACATGCAAGAGCTCTGAAGAGATCCTCTTTTTCTTAAGCAGTTGCCACAACGCTGCTGGTTTTGCCTATTATACCCAAGGCTACCAAGAGGGAGCCACCGAGACCTGAGACTCAGATTTCCTCACAGGAGACAAACAATGTAACTTCAGAGCTTACCTAAGAGTGTCTTCTCTTTATGCCCACTTTTGACATATTTGAGATGGAAAGCTTCCCAGGTACATTTGTGATGCCCACTTGGGCATGCCTCAGTCTCCCTTCTGTGCAGGAACCCAGATGGTAGGACCCAAAACCATTCCAGCTCATTTACCATCACCTGAGACAGCATCACCAGCTAGGTATTGTGTTGTTTCTTTGGATTGTAAATGGTTGTACTGAACGCAGTAAGCACTTTAAAAAAAATTTTTTTAAATTATTTTTTAGTGTATTAATAAATGTAAATAGCAAAGGAGTATGGAAGAAGAGAAGGTAGGTAAAGTTCTACTTCAGAAATCAGGCATTTTGATTGGACATTAATTCAGTAATTTTAGATTCTGTGGCAAAAACATATGCATTCAAATTGAGAATCATCTCCACACCTGTATGCACACCTGTAATCAGCTTTTGTAAAGCCCTTAAACATCAGTGTGAGATTTTCTTGTGCCAATGTTCAAATGATACTACTATCACAGTATGTCATCTGCCTGTAGGCAGTAATCAGGGCTGTGTCTGTACACAGATCAGATTTGCTTCTCAGGTGTGTTTGTGCACAACGTGGATGTGTTATCAAGCAAGGAAATAAAGTCATACATCTGTTCTGACCTGGACAGGCTGCAGAAGTGGGCCCATGTGAACCTAAGAGGTTCAATAAGGCCAAGAGCAGGGTGCTGCACTTGGGTCAGGGCAATCCCAGGTGTTTATACAAACGGGGGGAAGATCTCCTTGAGAGCAGCCCTACAGAGAAGGACTTGGGGTTCCTGGTGGATGAGAAGCTGGCCATGAGCCAGCAGTGTGCGCTTGCAGCCCAGAAGGCCAACTGTGTTCTGGGCTGCATTAAAAAAGGGGTGGGCAGCAGGGAAAGGGAGGTGACTGTCCCCATCTGCTCAGCTCTTGTGAGGCCCCATCTGCAGCACTGTGTCCAGGCCTGGGGCCCCCAGTACAAGAAAGACATGGAGCTCTTGGAACGAGTCCAGAGGAGGGCTGCTAAGATGATCAGAGGGCTGGAGCACCTCTCCTGTGAGGAAAGGCTGAAGGAAGTGGGCTTATTTAGCTTGGAGAAGAGAAGGCTCCAGGGAGACCTCATTGTGGCCTTGCAGTCCTTGAAGGGAGTGTATAAACAGGAGAGGAAATGGCTGTTTACAAGGGTGGATGGTGGTAGGACAAGGGGGAATGGTCTTAAACTGAGACAAGGGAGGTTTAGGTTAGATATTAGGAGGAAGTTTTTCACACAGAGGGTGGTGTCGCACTGGAGCAGGTTGCCCAAGGAGGCTGTGGGTGCCCCATCCCTGGAGGCATTCAAGGCCAGGCTGGATGTGGCTCTGGGCAGCCTGGTCTGGTGGTTGGCGACCCTGCACAGAGCAGAGGGCTGAAACTCGATGATCATTGTGGTCCTTTTCAACCCAGGCCATTCTATGATTCTGTGATTCTCATTCTGACATCCACGAGTAATGTTAGCACTCACGCCTCGGTCTTCACAGAAATCACTGCCCCATATCAAGGGTACTCAGAATGGTACCAAATGAATGGGAGTGCTTTCTCTCAAGTATTTGGAGGTTGTTTTCTCAAGTTGTGTTGAATAGCCTAACTGTAACTGATTACTTGCAGAAGCTTATTCCTTCTGCTTGTGCTTCTTAGAAGCAAAAATCTCCAAAATGCACACATGCAGTAGTTGTTTTTAACAGCAGTCTGATCTTTATATGCTTAAAATGCTCATGCCAGCACTCTCAGTAAACATCACTTAAGAGATCTCAAAAGACAAACTGTGATTCAGCAGCAGCACAATCAGTATGTCGAAACTGTGAATTTGTTGGCAACTAGTGTGAATAGGATCTGCTGCTAATTTTATTGCTTCAAAGACTGTATAACTTGGAGTTTTCAGTAATTTTACTTGGTTGAGTGTCAGGAAAAGTATATTACTGTCTTATATTTTCCAAGTCTGCTTATTTGAAACAGACTTCTAACTACAGGTTTCAGGTATGCAGGTTCCTCCTAAATTAGAAACTATTAGTAACTATCTCTAAGATGAAGTTTTCTTGTTTTATTTTTACTTGATTTTACAGGGCATTTGATACTCTTGCAAAAGCATTAAATCCTGGAGAGAGTGCAGCGTGCCAGAACTCTGAAAGTGTTGAGGCCAACGTGCAGCTTGGAGGTGGAGAAACAAGCATGAATATCGTTGAAATAGAGGGGCCGCTACTCAGTGATGCACACGTAGCATTCAGGGTACTTAATACTTTTTTATCCTTGGCTACTTCTAACCGTTTTAACATTGTAAGACAAATTAATGATCTGATTAAGTCATCTTTTGAACTTCTCTGAAGGGTAGCTATTCAGGTATTGCCATTCATTGCTGATGAATGCATGGCTTTTTGTTCACTAGTTGGCTGTATGCTTGGGAGAATCGGCAGCTCTCCTCACCATTTCTATAGCACGGCTTATTTTATTGCCTCTTACCTTAAAAATATGGTTTGCATTAAACTGAAGTTTTGTGGATGCCCCACCGAAGGCTGTGGATGCCCCATCCCTGGAGGTGTTCAAGGCCAGGCTGGATGGGGCCCTGGGCAGCCTAGTCTAGTATTAGACACTGAGGTCGGAGGCCCTGCATTCAGCAAGGGGGTTGGAGCTTGATGATCTTCGGGGTCCCTCCCAACCCAAGCCATTCTGTGATTCATACGATTCTAGGATTAAACACATTCTGGTCTCTCATATTTCTAATGCAAATGTCAGTTTTGTTTTGTTTTAAATTCTGTTACAAACTGATTTCTGAGGATAAAATTTGGGGTCGAATCCCCCTTCAGATCTGCAAGTGAAAGTGGTGGTGGTGTTCTGTTTGTATTTTCTACATACTTTGCTATATGCTCTGAGCTACTTTGTTGTAATTGTGCAGCTGTTCTTCTACAGCTTCTGTACAGATTGTCTTAAATGTTTTATTTCAGATTCTTCATCTCCAGGTGTTCCAGACATAAATCCTTATCTAAGTTAAGATTAAAAATTTTTCACTGTTTTGGTTGCTCTGTAGTCTCATTAGGGTATCACAGTGTGGCTAGTAAGGAGCAAAAAAAGCATTTGTTCTATTTTATTTTGGGATTATCTCATGGTTATTGAAAAAAATGTTACTTTTTTCCCTTCAATCCTGGAAATGATTTTTCTTATTATGTTTCATACAGAGAAAGCAAAACAACTGACTTGCACTTTTTTTTTGTTTTGTGCCAGCTCACCATGCCTTCTCCTATGCCCGAATATCTTAACGTTCACTATATCTGTGAGACTGCCTCCAGGTTGCTTTTCCTGTCTATGCACTGGGCACGTTCCATTCCATCTTTCCAAGCTTTAGGGTAGGTGTTCAATTACTCTATTTGCTCATGTTGAGATTACACGCTTTTTAATTTGTTATTTGCCATCTTTGCCATCTTTGAGGACTTTTTAAAATATAAACCAGCTTAATAAAACTGTTGTATTGGTCTTAAACACAAAGGTAAGTTCACTCAATCAAAATGATTCCCAGCTTCATTTCAAATCAAATACTTGGTTGAGTTTGGAAGAAAAAAGGAGTAGATTCATAATGATCAAATGCCTGCTCACTGCCCTTCTTTAATAAATTTTCAGTAAGTAGGACTGCCTGTCATTTTTGAATAGCACCCCCTGAACTTAAGATGCGTATCAGTCACCAAAGAGAAGCTCCTTTCTGGAGCTCCAAATATTGCTGTCTTTATAGGTGAGTTAGTAATAATTTTGCATTTAATAAACAGTATGAACACATGCTAAGTTAATCCTGAATTTTTGCTGAACCAAAGTTTAGTTGCAGAGGATTTTCCAAAAACAAATGGTTGCTATAGCCAGAAAGTCATTGTTATTATTCTCTTTACAGTTTGTGCAGCACTCTCTTTTTATAAGCAGAATTTGGTGTATCACTAAAAATTCTGAAGCTGTACGTGGTACTACTTTGCTGATCATCATGAAAAAAGATCTCAAGACAGCATGAGGAAAAGTGATTTTTATTACTTTCAGAAACCAAGATGAAGTCTGTCATCAAACTGGCTGTGTTACAATGCGATATACATCTATCAGCCATGATACAAAGGAGGCACAAAATCATCTTGTAGATCAGGATGTTCAGTGTTCTTCTTTAGTTGAATATCAAAATAGCATCTGATGGTGATAGCAAAGAGAATTCCTGTTTACAGTGAGGGATTGTCCCCTTTACCAGAGATCTTGGCAGAGCATGGATGATCTGTATTTACTGAAGTGCTTAAGCCAAATCATTCTACGTTGTTTAAAATAGTGTATTCTGTATAACTGAAACTTCTCTTTTGAAGGAGTCAAGTTCTATAAAACTAAACAATGATAAGCGGAGAAAAGTGGGTAAATATGATACTTCAGTACAAATTGCTGCTGCAGAACCTGAGAATGCTTAGCAAATTAACGTGGTGAACTACATCACTGCACATGTTTTCAGGTTTTTTTGTAAGACAAGTATTGCAAAGCGGTGTTGTAACAGCACGTAGTTTTTCTAAAAAATAAAAGCCACAAAAGATCAGTCTGTACAAAAGGATTTAACAGATAAATGAGCATAGAAAATCTGCTTTTTAAAAATATATATATATTACTTCCCAGTATACTTGTATAAGCAAGGGGAAGAATAGGCTGCCACAACACCTGTGTTAATACTCTCCTGAGTGCTAGCACTTGCAGTCCTAGTCCACATCATGGGCAATGGTATTTTAAACACCATTTAGTCATTTTCCTTTTGAAGGGCTGAAAATCCTAACATTGTTTTTCAAGTGGAGATTTATTTGAAATTACTGATCCTTTTTAAAGTTCAGCACATTATGCACTGTATAATTCTAACTTTTAGAAGAGTGACTCACATTGTCACTTATAATAAGCAATTTAATCCTAGCATGCAAACAGAAATGCTTTTGATGCAGGACTTCATTTTGGTACTGGCTGCAGTGGTTGAATCAGATCAGTGTTTTATAAAGTGTTCTTCAAATTGAAAAACTGTGTAAGAGCAAGTGAATGATTTCATTAAGTGCAATTATTATGTTTTTCAATTCAATAGACAGGATAACAGCATATCATTAGTAAAAGCCTGCTGGAACGAACTGTTTACGCTTGGTCTTGCACAGTGCTCTCAAGTCATGAATGTGGCGACTATATTGGCTGCGTTTGTTAATCACCTTCACGACAGCTTACAGCAAGGTAAGGTGCTGACTGAGCACATCTGCAGACTTAGGGAATTCATGGGTTTGAAGAGTTGAACTGAGCAGAAGCTGGTCACTTATCTATCAGTAGTTAATGAAAATCTACCATTCGTGGAAGTTAACAAAATAATGAGAACACAGTGTGGTTTTTTAAATCATTTTAATTGTGTATGATATCTGATAGCATTCTAGTTCTGTTAGGATACGTCACTCAAAATAGGAGTCTTTCAGGCAACACCAACTTTAAGAACACAGGGGTACTGTGAATATGATTCCTCTCTGCCTAGGATGTGAAGGAGGACCCAGCCGTCCCTGCTATTTGTAGCTGTGAAACAGCAGCCAAACGCCTCCTTTGTGATACAACCCCTTTAAATAATTTGGCTTATGTATATATGCAGGTTGCTCTGAAAGTAACGCCTCCTATTTATTTTGCATGAAAACTACAGCAGATACACAGAGCACAATGAAGTCATTAGACAGAGCAAATGCTCTGCTACAAGACTCTATTTTTCAACACAGTCACCACCATTAGCTGCACGATTTTGCCAGAGATGAACAAGAGCCTGCGTGCTGCACTTGTAGCAATCTGCATGGCTGTCCAGGACGTGGCTTGTCTGCCATGTTGCTGTCACCACTGCTGAAATGCATCATCTCACTGTGCTCACATCCACTAAAGGAACTCATGCAAATGTACACTGACCTACTCCATCGATGAATTAAGTACAGTACCCAACTCTTAGTTGTACAGCATAGATCTGCAATAGCATGGTATTGTTCTTTACTGACAAGTAACCTTTTCTTTCCTTTTTCATTCGGAGCTGTAGTCCACCTCTGATTATTGGAAATTTTAAGTGGCAGCAATTGTTGGTGTAAAGATAATTCAGTTCAGTGTATAGAGTTTGTAGGTGGCATAGATTTTCTGCTGTTTGAATGTACTTTAAGTGGTGAATGTTTTTAAAATTCCAACATGACTACACTTTTGCATGCCTCTTGACTTTGGGGTTTTTGTATTTTGTGTGTGTGTCAACTCAGACAAGCTGCCAACAGACAGAGGAAAACTAGTAATGGAGCACATCTTCAAACTGCAAGAGTTCTGTAACAGTATGGTGAAGCTTTGCCTAGATGGATATGAATATGCATATTTGAAAGCAATTGTACTCTTCAGTCCTGGTATGTAATCATTCTTAATGTAAAACTTTATTCTTTTTCTGTGACTATGGAGACTTGAGTGGTCAAAAGTTGGCTTAAAAATCCATATCTAAAATCTTCTGTCTTCCACAAAGGCATATTTTAGGTAAGTTGTTTTTTTTTTCCTCGTGTCCTTTTAAGGGCTTATAGAGAAAGGAAAAAGAGATGGAACTGCTTTAGAAAATAAGGAAGTAACATCAGATAAGTAGGCAGTGTGGGAACTGGGATGAGCCTGCTCATCAAGTCTTCGGTTTTGAAAGTCAGGGCTTTGCTAAATGGACAAGATTCATGAGGTGACAAAGAAGTATCTGTATGTGTGTTATTTTTTTCCATATGATTTCTGTTTCATTCGATGCTGCTGCTATTACCTCTAGAATCTCTGTGTCCCTTGTTGAGGAACCCGGGAAGGTGTAATGGATGACACAGGACAGTAGGAAGAAGAGGGTTTCTCTTTTAATGAAAATAGTTGGATGATGATGATGCTTTTGCCTCTGCTATCTGTTTATTACTTTTAAATGTATGTCTCTATTCTGGGGTACTACTTCTGAGGGCCTGGAGTTTAATTTTCAGAAGTATTGTTCCTGTGCTTCCTGCTGAGGTGAATCCAAGTTATGCTTTTAATATATGACAACCTTTCCAAGCCTTGATTCTTGCATATAAAATCACAGTAACGTATGACCTCACTTCACATGAGTATTATGAAAATGAATATTAAACATAGCATTTCCTTTTGTTTTTGTTTTCTGGTCAGTATTTGCATAATGTCCTGTAAGTAAAGTTAACTGGCTATTCATTAGGCAGTGGTGCTAAAATAAAATGACTATTTTTTCCTTCTGAGTGATCAGTCCACACTGTGGAGGAGTAAAGGTTCTCTGGTTAAGACAGAAAAGGACTGAGTGGATTCCATGACAAATGCAGGCAGCCTGTAGAAAATGACAAAACTAAATTTCTTTTTCTGAAAACTGTAGAATTAACTTTTCAGTAAATGCATTCAGATATTCTGTCTTCATGCTGCAGGTCTGAGATTTCATTCAGAATTTAGGAATTTAATCTAAAAATGAGTATATTTTGATTAAAAAAAAAAAAAAAAAAGTAAATCTCAAGTATTTTTTGTATCACCAGGAATTTTTCACTGTTTGATTTAGCAGGTAAACATAGAGTTGTTCTATTTTGCATTAGGAAAGTTTAAAAGCATGAGCAGCTTCTCGTTGCTCTGTGTTTTCTAGATGCTGATGTTCTGTGGAAAAGATCAGAATGTATTTTAAAAGCTGTGTGAGTCACAGTGTAGTCTGTCTGTTGTGTGGGATGTGGCAGAGAGCTGGATGGTCCCTGCCACTTCTGTACGTGTCTGAGAAGAGCTGTCTTTTTCAGTTCAGTTGCAGTTCACCCTTTCCAAGAGAAATCAGTTGAGGTGAAAAAATCTTCTTGAACTGTGGCGCTTCAAAAGTATAAATTTTAAGCAAGTTTTCTGATATGTATATAAAAGAACACAAGTTATCTTTTCTTTAAGTGGTATCCTCAAAGAATTTCCACATCTTCCAGAGAAAGTGTCAGCATCAGCACAAATACATGAAATTTGGCTAAGTGCATAACAAAACCTTGTGTGTCTTCCCATTTTCCCCCTTTTTTGTTTTTTCCTTCTCTTTTTGATATTGCTCTTTTGGAAGACCTCCGAGATTTAAGACCTTCCTGCAAATGAGAAGCCTTTTAAGTAATGTCACAACCCCCTATTAAAGATGAGAGATTCACAGAGGAGATCCCAAAGAGTTCTTTTGTTCTAAAATCTTTTCAGAAAAATCAGACCCTGAATATTTTCACTGTACAGCATAACCTTGTTACCAGCCCTCGTGACTTGAAGAATTTTGCACGGTTTTGTGTTTGCTTCTGTAGTCCAGTGAAGCACAGGAACTATTTCAATTTTATGATAAGCAGTATCCACTATGGGTCTAATTTCATAGAATCATAGAATGGCCTGGGTGGAAAAGGACCACAATGATCATCTAGTTTCAACCCCCCTGCTATGTTCAGGGACGCCAGTAATTTCAATATTAAGAGTGCTTGAAAATGTTTATGATTTTTCCTTCCTTCCTGCTAAGGATTGAATACACAGACTCAGAGGCTTCCTTAAGGTGAGGGGTAAGAAGGTGTCTGCTGCTGTAAATTTGGTAGGTCGTGCTTGCAGGAGATTTAATTCACTATTAAGCATTCCTTACCCCCAAAGCAGTCCTTTCATGCCATTCCTATACTTGTAACTAGCACAGGTTCCTCCAGGAAACAATTTATAGCAGAATGTGTTGACCTGACTGAAGAAATCAATCCTGTTACAGACCTGAAAATATTTCCTTAGAGAGCTTCCACCTTCAAAGCAACAATTATTTCTTTGTTCAGCCTAAAGTTAGCTTGTTTCCTTCCAAATTGCATTCAAGGATTGAAAAGGTAGGACAGATATTCTAGGAAAAACCTGTATCAAGTCAGGTGACTGGACTGACTTTTCTTTAGGTCACGTGCTTTTATGATCACATTCCTGAGGATGTGCAGCTGCTTTAATGTTGGCATATTGACTCATAAGCCAATATTCTTGACAGTATACATGCAAGACATAAAAAACTTACAGCAGTGCCCTGAACAGAAGGGATATTCTGGCAATGATTTATAGGCCAGAAATTACAGTTTCAGGGATTTTACTGCTCCGCTACAGGATGGGGCTGGACTGCACGTGCAGCAGTCCTGAGGTAAGAACATCTGCTTTGGTAGGCTCTGCTGCTGTGCCGTGTGCCATAGCTGGAGGTTGGAAGATTAATGAAAATCTTCCGTTCCGCTCCAGCTGCATGACTGTAGCAAGTCAGCCTTGGGCAAGGAGATGAGTGCAAGGGAGTGCCTATGAGACTTGGCATCTGTATGGATTGCTACTAGCATGCTAGCAGTCTGCAAGAACTGGTTTGGAAGCAGACTTCTAGCTGTTTCTGACATTGCTCTAGAAGCAACGTCATGAAGCAATATATGTTGCATGTCAACATTAACTCTTCAGAATCTCTTGCTTCCTTTGCTAACCTCCTGTCATCTGCATTGATTTTTTACAAATAACATCACTCAATTTGTCATGGTATTATGACAGTAAAATATTTACATTAAGCCAGATGGAAAATAAAGATTAAACTGTGTAAAGGGGTCAGAATCACCAGATAATAATTTCCAATTGTGACTTGGCCATTAGATTAAATAACCTTTCATTCCTGCAAAATTTAGGAAACAAATAGTTCATAGCTTTTTTTTCCCTCCCTATGTGTATTTATCTTTTTTTTTTTTTTTTTCCTCACAAATGCTATTTGTGCACACAGAATTTCAATAAATATCAATGCATTGGAACAGTACTGTTCTATGTGACACAGAGAACAGAGGTTTATTATCAGGAATGATGTAAACACTGCAAGCACTGCACATGTTTGAACTTTTCCAGTTGTCTGGTTGTTTTTATGAACAGTAAGGTAAAACATCAGCATAGAGAAAGAGAAATAAGGAGGTAAGGCAGCACTCTTCATTAAAACTGTTGGAGAACTGAAAGTTGCTGCTGCTATCAAATAATCATTTCAGCATGCTTACAAGTAGGTAATTGGTACAGCTTTTAACACATCTTGGTGTGACAGGTGTAACAATGTAGGGTGTCTTTCAGATCACCCAGGGCTGGAAAATGTGGTACAGATTGAGAAATTTCAAGAAAAGGCATACATGGAGTTCCAAGACTATGTAACAAAAGCATATCCAGATGATACTTACAGGTGTGTATGCTTTCGTGCTCACTTGATGGTTCTCTTTTCAGAGCATCAGTGATACTGATTTGCACAGTGTTACTTAGAGTAAACACATATATTTTCTTCTTACCTTCTTAAAGCTTAGAAATGACTTTTAGAACACTTAAAATATTTAAGAGCTCATACATATTGTGATTATCGTTTACCTAATTATTATTAATTTCCAAAATGAAATACTGGAAGATAGAGGAAGTATTTCTTTCATTTTGAATTGCACCTAATTTGAGTAATTCCTCATTTAGTCTAATCCAAATATTGTTCAGTCCATTGACTAATATATGCACAATTTTGGTGCCGTTGAAGAAATGACTGACTGTAAAGATAGCATTTTGATCCAAGTATTTAAGCCTCTCATGAAGTAAATATAGCAAATTTCTCTCGCCGTTGTCCCTTACTCATGTTTTGTTTTCTTCTCAGTAACATGGCTGTGGATAAGGCCAAAATGTGTGACCAAAGTGACTTTTTGCCAAACTTACTTTTGCAGACTGTCTCGACTTCTTCTCCGATTGCCTGCCCTGAGGCTGATGAGCGCTGCCATTACTGAAGAGCTGTTCTTTGCAGGACTAATAGGAAACGTTCAGATTGATAGCATCATCCCGTACATCCTGCGAATGGAGACGGCAGACTACAACACTCAAATAATCGGTCATGCCGTATAAAAGTAGCAATCAAGGATTCTGTGCCATGGCAGTCATGGTGATGTAAATGCGTACTCTGTCTCCAAGAGATGGCAATAGGCCTTCCCACGCACCTTTCTAAAGAAGACTCGTGTTCCTCCTTTCCAGTACGCTTGGGAAATGCGGTGGAGTGTCTTAAGGAATATAGGATCGCTTCCTATTTTTCGTCTGATCTTCAAGGACTTGTAAATTAACTTGATATCTGAGGAAAGTCAAGAATTGTTCATCCTATTTTTGTAGATAGATGAACTTGGAATATTTGTTTATGAATTGCAGGCTTGTGAAGAAACGGAAGAAGCTTTGACTGAACTAAGGTATCTCAACTTAGTTTGGTGTTTTAGACAAATAAATTAAGTTTCCTCTCTGAGTTGTGTTTTCAGTGCTTTGCTGCTAGTTCTTTCTCACTGATTAAACGGAAAATAAGACCAAACGTCTTGAAAAGGGCATTGTTTCTATGGAAGGGAGACATTTATAACCAAACTTTTATTTTCTATTCTTTTGGAAAGAGATTATTTCAGGTTGAATGAAGCAGTGGATATTGTTATAAGAGCAGGGAAGGTAGAGGAATTTCACACTTAAAAATATTCTGCTTGCATGTTGGTGCAGTTGATAAAAAGTAAAGCTGCAAAGGATCAGTATTGACTGTTCTGTGGATGCAAGGGTATACTATGCTGTAATATTGTGTGTTGGTAGATATCAGCTGTTTGATACTATGAAAAATTGAGAACTTTGTACTGCAGGTATTCAAAGAGAGCAGCCTCCTATTTTTTCTGCTCTCAAAAGTTAAAGGTTTTTCACAGTACTCTTTCCTCTTTCAAACTCAGCACACAGGGAGGGAGGCATTCGAGATGTGTCTCAGTTTTCTTTCAACCACTTTTATAAGTAACGAATCTTGTTTAGAATTGTGTGCATGCGTTCATATCATTTCTCTTGCATAGGACTTTGGTTTGTTTTTTTTTTTTTAATTATTATTATCCTCTGGCTATTTAGCTGTCTTTTCCAGTCAGCCAGTCTCATGTGATTATTTTTTAAATTAGAAATTATTGAATCCAGTACTGCTGTTTATACAAGATTGGTCTCTGCTGCTTTGCCTGTCCTTGTTAGAAATGAGTCTAGATTATGTATGTAGACTGAATTACACATCATGGCTCCATAAAAGATGGGTTCGCATGCTTTCCTGTCTTGAGGAACGTGCCTCATTGTCAAATAACACTGATGGTTGTTCATTCCTAGCTTCCTTTTGCAATGGGAAACTATATATTCCTAGCACATTTAATATCTGTTGCTTAAAATTAGAGATTCTAGGAAAAGTTATGGTCTGCTGCTGACAGCAGCTTGCAGGTTTATCTAAATCTTGGATTGAGGCCTAGTTCCATTTATCCTGAACTTTTTAGTTCTGTGGCAGCACTGAGTGAGGAAGAGCCCAATTAGCCAGAATTAGCCAGAAGATCAGCTTTGAGGGGGGCCTTTGCCCCTTTGTACCTGCAACTCCAAGGCCATGTCTCAAGGCCATTGAGAGGACAGGTAGATGAGATTTTGTTGATTTCTGTGTTTTTTCTCAGCACCCAAGGATTTCAGCCAGCCAAAAAGAAGCAGAAAACTGACACTGAATTATTGTGTCCTTTTTAATTCTACTAATAGAGTTGTTGGATCTTTCACTGGCCACCTTCTAACCAGAGGCTGTACTACAGGATTGCTCATACACGGATCCAGAGATGGAAATGCTTGGTGCTGAGGACCTCTGATGGGATGGAACCATTCTCCCCTGCTCTGAATTTGGCATGTAGCGACTTTCTGGAGAGCAGCCTTTAAAGATGCTGGAGATTCCCACGTGACTGAGCCCTTCCCACAGTCCATGTGTCGAAAGGAGAAGGATTGAGGCTCTGTATTCGTGTTCCCTGGAGTTCATGAAGTGTGAGGACTTTTTTTCTGTCTCAAGAGGGCAGTAGTGATGGAAATGTGAAAGACAACGGCTGCGAATATGCTGTGCTTGTCTCCTCCCAGTGGTTATTGGCCCCGCCATCGTGCCGTCTGTAGGACCAAATTGTGGATGGGAAGTGAATTGTTATATTCGTGTTTCCTCAGAAAGTTGGACCCTGTCTTCCAGCCCTTCTCTGTTGCTAGCAGGAACAGTTATAGTTGTTTTAAACCTTTCAAGGAAGTTGCCAGGAGGTTACTCCTGAATAATTTGTAAATGGTTTACCAGGCATTCCAAATATTGGAAGAATTTGATTCCCAATATTCTCCAAATTCAGATAACCCATTTTCCTTCTAAATGCAGTAGAGACTGCAAATCTCTCCCGCATCATTGCAGATTTATATTTTTTTAGCCTTTGGGACCTGTGCCTCAGGCATGACAAGCAGTTCTTTGTTTGCAGCTTACCAGAAGATTCAGCAAACGTGGTTTTTGCATGGTATTGTTTCTCCGAAACAGCTGAGAAAATACCAGTGTTTGTAGAGAGGTACATCTTTAGGGATTGAATCCTTCAGCATATCTGTCTTTGAGAGCCGTGTTTTGAAGGATGTGGCTATAGAAATTTGCTCTGAAATTCTGCTTGTTCCCCTTTCACGCCGTAGTCTGAATACAAGTTGGCCTACTGCAGGGAAGTGTGAACTGCTGTCACTGCTGACTGCTGGATCAGGACATCTTTGTTAGGCTGTGTTAACTCAGAAGCACAAGAACCACGGTGACATTCTTTTTGGATGCCTGTCACCTCTGCATGGCAGCAGAAGTTTCAAATCTCAGTGGCTGACATTTCCCCTTCCCACATCTCTTTCTGTTACTCTCCTGGCAAAATCTTTTGATCTTCATCTGAGATTTTTGCCAGATCACTTAAATCAAGAATTCAATCCATCCATGTTTTTCTTTTTAAATCCAGTGTTTCCAGATGTGAGACTACGCATTCTGTGTTGGGTAGCAAGAGACATGTGTCACACCCTTTCACGTGACAAAAACTTGCAGATATCATAGAATCTAGTTTTCTCAGGTGAGAAGTCAAACAGGACGCTCCAAGCTCAGTTACAGACTCAATTCCCTCTTTTGATAGCAGTATAGTTGAGTCACCATCATTAATGAGGATGTACTCTAGTAGTTCCCAGGCTGCGTTTGGGCTTTGCTCAATATCTGTATAGTATTGTTACAAAAGGGAAAGCTAGTTCAAGAGATCTTCACATTGCCAAGAAGTGGCATACAGTTTTTATGTATTGTGTGGCTATGCACATACTCATCCAAAAAGAAAAGGTATTTATCTCAAAAAGATTCCAGTTACTTCTGCTGTCCATCTGTGCGATAACCACATGCCCTCCCTTCCCCTTGCTGTTGGTGGCTAACCAAATGTAAGCTCCATACTGACTGTCAGGTGAAACAAAAGAGGGAGACAGATGCATGTACACCTGAGGTATTGTAAGGGCCTCCCCAAAAAACTATAATCTTGGATACCTCCAATGTTTGGACTTCTATAGAGTGAATGTGCAGATATGCAACACACTGCAAAAAGTGCTGCCTACTGGTAAGTAACCTTTTTCCCAATGTTTGTTGCATTTTTTCTTCATAAATGTTCAGTGTAAGTTCAGTACCAGGTTAAAGGCGTGCTGATCTGTGCTGCTTGGCAAGTATTCTCTCCTGTCTTGATGACCAAGAAGGTGGATCCCATAGTGCAGGTGGCTGCGTTTGTATTACTCACTTTTCTTACCAAGACTTTTCATTTATCATTTTGGGTTCTTCATGTGAGTTCATGCTCTTAATGAGGAGTGAGGTACAACTGGGCTTTCTCAGGAATGGGCTGCCCTTCCTGCTGTTCAGTCACACTGTTCAGCCAACACAAATACGAGCAGTAAGGCTCACTTCACTGTAGATGTTAAAGTACCTCATTATTTTTGTGACCTTTATGTTTTATGTTTTTAAACCTTCTGATCTTCAGCATTCTGAAATTTTCCATACCTCGTCAGAATACAACTAAACTGCAACACTTACTACTAATAATTTGCTTTGCCAATGAATGAACAAGCTCTGTTATGACAGCTTTAAAATGTTCAATGTTGTGAAAATTCATTTCTGTATCAATCACATGAATGGAAAAATGATACATTTGGAATCCTGTCCCTTCAGATGGGAGCAGTGATACACAGAACAAATGGACTAGTTTGGAATTGTATGTTGTGCATATATATATGAGTTTAGGGGGCTTGTTTCACACTGGTAGAGTTCCTGATACAAACAATTGTTCTACTTTAAACTTGCTTCAAAAGCACTTTCACTGCAGTACCTTCTGCACTTATAACCTGTTGGTACCTCTCTTCTGTGACCATTGGCTTCAGTGAAAGTCACTGCTCTGTTACTCTGTTCAGCAGCTGTGGTTTCCCAGCACAGGCATTAGAATATGGCTGTACCTGTTCTGCTCTGGTATAAAAAATTCATTGTAAATGTCTTGAAACCTGAATTTGTAAAGGTCTATTTTGGCTGTATTTTTAAAAATAAATTGTAACTTCCTGTTAGAGAAAGCAATAGTCATCACCTGTCTGTTAGTGTTCTACACAGGTTGTCTTACAGCCTGAAGCAGTGTGTATGATTCCAAAGAGTCTGGATATTTCACTTTACTGTACAATGATGTGTTGTCAATAGATTTGTTCTCTGGGATTTGTGACCACTGCAGTATCTTGCTGTTCTCTACCCCTGTTGCTGTGAACTCTTTGTTTTTGTGCTTACTGCTCCTTTCTGCCCTGGGAATTTGGCTATTTGAAAATCAATGATTTGTTACAGAATTGAATTTAACAACATTTTTTTTCTTTTAAAGCACTACATATAGACGTTGATATAATGAATTCTGATCACAGATCTTCATGCCAAGTAAAGCAATAGTTATTTTTGGGGAAGTTTATTCAATTCATTATGGATTGTGAAATGATGACAAGTTTGGGTCCTTTCTAGAACTGATTTCCCAGTGCCAATTGAAGAGCTGTCTGCTTTTTTTTTAGTCTTCAGTTACAAGTGATTGTGATGTTTGAGTGAATATGCAGATAGCAAGAACAAATGAGAAATGAGCTGCCATTCTCTCCTTGCCTAGATTCTGAAATGCATTCATCCTGAAGTAAATGAAGTACTGTGGAGTAAGTAGGTGATGCACTGTAGAGGAAAGCTTTGTATGCTGAGAGAGAAAGTTTGGGTAATGCTGATGAGGGAATAAGCAGTCAGACTCTCTTCCTCCTCCGTTAGCAGGTACTCCAGTTGCTTTGTTGCTTCTGTTTTAAAAGCTTACCCTTCCCTGCACTTCCACAGAATCCTGTTCTCTGGTCAGACTGCTAATCTACTACCTGCTCCTTCCCATACCAGTCATATTTCACAGTCTTTTGGTCACCTCTGAGGGAAGAAAGGAAGAGCTCTCTAGACAGAAGTGCTCTTCTGGTAAATAACAAAAGTCTAGAAACTCCAACAGTTACTCAGCAGCGTCTTCAACCAACATCTCTAACAGTCCTGTCTTTCCTCCTCATACTTCTGTATAAAGTAACCCCAAATAACGATTCTGCTTCATCATGTGAGCCCTTCTCTCCTGAGCTCTGCTTTTCCTTTATGTGCACAAAGTCACATTAACCCATGCCTGTAAGCAGTCCTGTTCAGCCACTTCAGTCTTCCTTTTACCCTCAGCTCTGCAGTGTGAAATACTATCCTCACCCTGATGTGCTGCTGCTAATATGTGACACAATTTTCTGCTACATTAATCTTTTATCAGAACTCGGGTTGTGCATTTTGGCTCCAGTGTAGGAACCAAATGTATCCTGAGTCATGGCACTGGAGCTGACCTCCGTTCGAAGCAGTCACTCCTGGACACATGGGGTTTTTGTGGCTGCTGATGCTGAACACATACATAAGCTCCACTATGGAGACCTCAACCCTGCTTTACCTTTGGGTCTTACCAGAGAGCAAGCTGAACGGCTACATACTTTGGTTTATGATAGCTCTCATGAAAGTTTTTCTTTCACACTGTAGCCAGTGGAATTTTGCTGTTGAAAAATGAAAGAGGCAGCTGCTGCGTGAGATGGCCCAGGCACTTCTCAAGAAGCGGCATGAGACTTCTAAAAGTGCCACCACAGTTGGTTTTGAGTGTTTTAGTATTGTCAGAAGTATGTCACACTAGAATGTTTGTGGGGTTTTTTGAAAATTACGGAATACCTCTGTTCTTCAGTAAGATCGCACCTGGAGCCTTGGCTCCACACCAAGAGCAGCAGAAGACAAGTGAAAAACTTTTTTTGATCGTGCTTTTGGGAAATGCAGGTTATAGGAGGGCTACAAATCCAAGAGGGAAAGCATTAGAGATTGCACTGTGCAGACCAGAGTGAGAGAAACTACGGTTAGAGGCTGGGCCCACAAAATGTAAAGAATGGTGATGTGAATTTGACATTGCTTCTGAGACTCAGAAATTTTAGAAGGATGGGGCAGATTTTCAAAATCTACATAGCTGGGTCTGTTGTGTGTTGGGTTTATTATTTTAATTGCAAGAGGAATTCCAATTAATTATGCCAATGTATATTCCTTAGCTGCGAAATCATTGCAACATAAACTTTTATGACTTCTCATACAAAGAACAGAAGGAATTGCAGTGGGATAAACAATTATATATATTGTAAGGTAAAATGTAAATATTGAATTGCTCTGTGGGTTGGTTTTTTACACTTTCTGTGAAATACTTGAACTTAGGTTTCTCAAAATCAATTTATCACTGAATAAAGCTCTTAAAAAAATAAAACATAGGATTCAGTGAGACTCTTCTTCGCAATCATTGAATCATTCAAGAAATGGATTTATCTTCAAAAAATGTGTTCTTGTGTACTACACTGTGATTCTGTATTAGAAAAGAAAGAGCTAACTGATATGTTCAGGGCTTGTGTAGAATGGCATTCTGTCACTAAGTGTGCGACTTGTTGGAACCACAGGGGAAAAAAAAACTAGCATTAAATTTGATTAGGCAGTTTTTAAGACAGTGAGGTTCAACATACAAAACTAGGGGCACAGCGTATCTAACAGAGATTTGGCATCAAATCTTAGAAACTGGGAATAAAGAATTATTTATGGGACCATGAGTTTTACAGTCAAGTGAATGCTATCTTCCAAAGGTACCCCAATATAAATTCTTAGGAAAGCATTACGCTTGTGCTTGTATTCCACATTATTCAATCATGGTATCTGCATAGGGTTTGAAGATAACATTGAACAGAGCAGTAAGATAGAGTTTTCATGAATGGTAACCAGATGTTAGCAAAAGCACTGTAAGTAGATGCAATAGGATTTGAGCACTGGGACTAATAGCAATGAAATTCTTTGTGGAGACTTACTTGGCTTGAGGAAGAATCAAAATGCAATGTGAAGATGCTGTAAGAAGTTCCTGCTTCTATGAATGTTGTTCCATAAAAGCTTCAATAAGCTGTACGATTAAGGTTGCATTATGACACTAATCACAGAATCACAGAATTGTAGGGACTGGAAGTGACCTCCAGAGATCATCGACTCCAGCCCCCCTGCAAAGCAGGCTCCCTACAGCAGGCTGCACAGGTAGGCGTCCAGGTAGGTCTTGAACATCTCCAGAGACAGAGAGTCCTCTGCCTCCCTTGGCAGCCTGTTTCAGTGCTCTGTCACCCTTACTCTGAAGAAGTTCCTTTGCATATTGGTGCAGAACTTCCTATGCTCCAGTTTATGGCTGTTTTCCTTTGTCCTGATCCCACAAACCACTGACAAGAGGTTGGCCGTGTCTCTTTGACTCCCACTTAGTAGGATATTTATAAACATTAATCAGATCACCTCTCAGTCTTCTTTTCTCAAGGCTGAACAGGTTCGCTCAGCCTTTCTTCACAGGGGCTCCTGGCCCTGGCCCTTTAACATCTTTGTGGTCCTCTGCTGGACTCTCTCCAGGAGATCGCTGTCTTTTTTGCATCGGGGAGCCCAGAACTGGACACAGTACTGCAGGTGAGGCCTGAAATCCCTTCTGCCAGCTTGGAGTTACAAAGTGCCATCCTCCAGAGCCGTCTCAGTGTAACCACAAGGACACACAGTGCCACGTGGATCCATGAAATGACCCAGCTTATCCATTGTAACCCTCGGGGAAAAAGATACAAACAAACCTCTCAGACCGCTGCCAGCAGAGAAAACGTTCTCAGAATTAAATTCTTAGTGAAGATGACCAGGTTCACCAGTTTCGTGAATATCCTTAGAAACTGGTTTGGGAGTTGCAGCTGCTTAGTGATCCAAAAGTTGGCTGCCCTCTTTTTAAAAACTTCTTTTTCACAGATTTTTCTTCTTGCAGCAAAACAACGGCTTGTGAAGTTAAAGAACAACCGAACGAGCACTGCGCAGCCTCGGAGCTCGGCGCTCCGCCCGTCCCATCACCGCCGCCCCGCCCCGTGCGCGCCAATCGCGGGGCGGTGCCGGAGCCGCTGCGGCGCCGTCCCAAGATGGCGGAGTACGTGCAGGTGATGAAGCGGGCCTTCAAGCACCTCGGCGGCCACGGTGGCGTCCGCGGCGCCATCTTGCAGCTGCTCAGGTAACAGGGAGCGCGGCGCGGCGCGCTTGGAGCGAGCAGCGGGCGGCTCCTGGCTCTCGCCTCGCCCCCCCTCCCCGTCCCGTGGGGTCACCTTGGCGGCCGCTCCGGGCCGCGGGCCCTGGCGGCTGTGCCTGGAGAGCAGAGCTCAGCGCTGCCCCTCAGCTCTTCTGTTCTGGGCTGTGCAAACCGAGGAACCGCAGCTGCTCCTCACACACCTTGCCTTCACACCCTTCACCATTTCTGTAGCCCTCCTTTGGGTGCTCTCTAGTAGCTTTATGACCATTTTGTACTGTAGTGCCCACACATAGTGCTTGAGGTGAGGCTGCAGAATAGAACAGGACAGTCTTTAACATCAGTACACCAAAAATCAAATTATTCTGGCTTTGTGTGCCTGGAGACGTTTTCCTTGGTCGGGGCTCACTGAAATTTGCTGGGAAACGTCCTTTGGAGGTTCTAAATGCCTCTTAGTGTTTGGTGTCAGTGCTCAGGGCACGAGTGCCAGGACAAGGCATAACAACCCTTACGAGGAGGGGAAGGAAAGAAGGAAGGGAGAGCAGTGATGGAACATCCCTTTTCCTGAGGTTAGTTGCTTAGGCTTAAGTAACGTGGGAGTCTGAGTGCTTTTTTAAGTGATAAGTGAACTGCAGCCAAGGAAGCATGGGTTTACATGTGTTCTGTCACTTGGCTCTGGATGGAGAGTGCCCAGAGCACTGCAGGCAGCTGAAACTTTATGTGATCCTGCCTAAGGTGAATGTCAATGAAGAGGGGGGAAAAATATGCAGATCTAGGTGGGGGAAAACACTTTAAAACATGTCAGTGGAATGCAAGTCATAGGTGTGCCTGTGGTACTCACTTCACATGATATTTAAGGTTTATGAACTTCTGAACAGCCCCCCAAGGCCTGTCTGTATGACTTCATTGTCCTGTCAGTGGGGCACACAGTGAAGGCAAGCTGCTGTCAGTTGCAGGAATTGGTGATTACGTTTTGCACTACTTAAGTCTGAGTATTTTGGGGTTCCTTTGTTTGTTTTGCTTTAGATACACGTGTTTGAGTTTTAATTACAGATTTTTGCTAACGTCTAACAAAAACTGATATTGCAATTTCACT